CCTTAACTGACAAAGGGATATTCAAGCATGTTCCTAAATTGGAGGTGTTAATCTTATCTGAGTGTCAAATCACAGTCATTGCAGACAAAATATTTGATTCCCTTACACATCCCAGGTATGCTGACTTCAGCAAGAACTGTCTTGTTACATTTAATGGCAATACCTTCTACTCTATGAAAAATATAAATTAGAATTTTGCAACAAACCACATAGAAATGATAGCAGTTGACAACATCAAAGGCATTGAGAAAACTAGTTAAATTGATCTTAGTGTAGCTACAATTGTCTAGTATGCAATTGTTCCAATTTTGATTTTATCAGCTGGTATGAGCACAACCTTGATAAAATGATAAATTCTGAGGACACAGTATGTGGTCTCCCTGTGACATTGTTGTACTTGTAGTGCTGGCTGCCCTAATTCTTGTCATAGTTTTAGTTTGCCTTGTACTGTAGCAAAACCCTCACAAATATTCCAAACTAGAGTACTTTCTCTTAACCACAGCACACACTCATATGAAAGATTACGTTTGTTGATGAATTAGGTTTGTGGGATACAAAACATTGCAATGAAAGCAGCGATTACAAATTGTCTTTATTGCTTTTGTTCCAATAGCAACAACTTTGAATTCCTACTGTAAAATAATTCAAAAGGGTATACCAGTTTTTGTAATACTTCAGAATGAAACAGAGTACTTATTGTACATTATTTTTTAATAGAATATTTTTTTTAACTTTTTGCTTTGAAAGTAACATCTTTGAAGTGTTTTTGTGATAAAGGTGCTGTAGACAGTTATTTTTAATTATATATTATACAATATATCAAGCATTTTTGGATCAAAAGTAGTATACTGCATACAGTAACTGTGCATATATGTTTTAGAGAAATAAAGTATACAGGCTTTGTTTTTGGTGTCATTTTGATTATCAGTCCTGACTAAATAACTTTTTTTTAACACTTCAATGACTTTGTTACATAAACCATAAATCAAATTATCTGTAAATAGATTCAGCACAGGTGATGAGGGGACCTGTTGAATGTCAAGGCTGGTGAAAATTACAGAAAGAAAACAATACACCCCATTTATCACGAGAACATCAATATTGTGGAGGCTGGAATATTTTGAAATAACAATCAGCACACTGTAATTCACCATTTGGGGTATTCACACCAATTTCTAATCTGGCAAGATGTTACTGTCAAATACAACAACGGGCCATGATGTGTCAAGACTGACACATTATCATGATCTGCTGTAACAGAAAAACTGGCTCACAAGTCATCAATGTCAATATGCCTGCACAGCTCAGCACTGCTCTCATCTGGGGCCTCACTTGCTGGTCGTCCTCGCAGTTGCTTCCACTAGAGGCCGCCTCAGAGACAGTTTTAAGCAATACATTTGCAAATAAAGCTCACTTGATGCATTACAAATGATGTAATACACACTGTTAGTAGTGTGAGGGCACTGTGCAGTAGCAAATGTTAGAATATTTGAGGAGTGGTGATATCCACTGTCCTTTAAGCTGGTATCGTTTGTCATTTTTACTAATTATTTTTAATGTGTTAGAATTTCTTTAAAAATAAAGCAGGGATACTTCATGGACCACTAAACATTTGAGTTCAGAGTATTCCATGTGTAGGTGTTCCCAGTGTCAGACAGCAAAAGGTAGGATTTTCTGCAATATGTAGTATATTCCTATTTCAGTGGTTACGTGACGCTAATGCACAAAACAGGTATTTGTGGCAGCACGTAATGGCTTTATAGTGTGTATGTGAAGTGGAATTTGAAATCTGTTTAGATGGTTCAGAATCCTTAACTTTTGATCTAATAAAGAATCAGTTGATTGACTTACATTTCAAAACATTTAACATTTATGATAGCCTTCGATCAGATTAAATGTCCAGTGGACATTTAACTGAATTGAAAAAAATGATTACACTAGTGATGGATTATGTTTACTCTTTTTTTATTTACAACACAAAACCTTCTTGGAACGTCACAGGCAAAACCTCAATTTTAAGACTTAAGCTAGGAAGTACAGTGTGTATCACTTCAGTAATGAGTAACAGTACCTGTGTATTTACAGTATATTGGCAGGAGCACATTGTGGGCAGTTAGTCAGAATAAATCAAATGGATACTAATGAAGAAAAAAACAGTATGAAGCAATAAATATGGATATAGAACACCCACACTGATATAGATCAAAACTGACATCAACAGTACAAAAGTTCTCTGCAACACCTAATATTTTGTTGAGCTGAGTGACAAATTATTTTTCAGTTCATTTTCTTTCACAGGCTTTTCCATGAAGAATGTTCCCCAGAATGTAGTGTGGAGTCAGTGTGGAGTCAGATGCGCCCTCTGTCATCTCATTAGTTGTGAGAAGATGACTGGTCAATTAATCCATTTTGAAAATTAGAAAGTTGATGCTTCGAAATGTCGGTTTTGATCAGCCATCTGTGAACAAAGAAAAGATCCTCTGGATGCAACATCAACCAGAGGGAAGTGCAAAGGAAGAAACCAACCAAAGGACCAAGGAAAGTGTCATTTAAAGTTTGGAACAACAGCCTTGGGGAGAGACTGTTTCGGAAATTTGAGACTTGATGTTTTAGGATGCCAGCAAGCAGCTTAGCTGCCTGGGTACCTAAAGCGCAAGACTTGTGTAGAGTCAAGGTAGTAGCTCAAAAAGGAAACTAAATAAAGTTCACTGGTTTTTACCTGACTGCTACATTTATGCATTTTCCTTTTCTAAAATTCCTGTTACAACACTGCATGCCCTGTTATGTCACAAGTTGTACAACTGTAGATAACATAATTTCACTCTTCAGCCCAAAATTTTACAATTGCATAATGAATCCGCAGCTGACCAGCTGCTCTCACTGTCTGCAGACGAGATGAGGCGATCTCTGCTAAAAGTGAACACACGCAAGGCTGCAGGACCCGATGGCATACACAGTCGCATTCTCAGAGCCTGCGCCAATCAACTGGCGAGTGTATTCACAGACATTTTCAACATGTCTCTGGCCCAAGCCGTAGTCCCCACCTGCTTCAAGACAACCACCATCATCCCAATACCAAAGAAAACCACAGTGACAAGGTCTTAATGACTACCGACCAGTGGCACTAACACCTGTCATCATGAAGTGCTTCGAGAGGCTGGTCATGAAGCACATTAAAGACACCATCCCAAACACAGTGGACCCGTACCAGTTTGCCTACCGGTCCAACAGATCCACAGATGACGCAACTTCCATTGCCACACACACAGCCCTATCCCATCTGGACAAAAAGAACACATACACAAGGCTACTATTCATCGACTTCAGCTCAGCTTTTAACACTATCATCCCAGAGAAACTAGTCAAGAAACTCAGTGCACTGGGTCTCAACACCACCCTCTGCAACTGGATTTGGGACTTTCTGACAGGCAAACCTCAGGATGTCAGGCTTAGAAACCACACCTTCGGCACACTAACTCTGAACACTGGGGTCCCCCAGGGGTGTGTGCTTAGTCCATTGCTCTACTCCCTCTATACCCATGACTGTAAGGCCAAACACAACACCAACTCCATCATCAAGTTTGCCGATGACACCACAGTTGTAGGTCTGATCACAGACAATGATGAGAGGGCCTACAGGGAGGAGGTCAATCTCCTTACAACATGGTGTGATGACAACAACCTCACCCTCAACGTCAGCAAAACCAAGGAGCTGATCGTTGATTTCAGGAAACTGCAAACCGGACATGCCCCTATCCACATCAACGGGACTGAAGTGGAAAGGGTCAGTAACTTTAAATTCCTTGGTGTCCATATCACCGAGGACCTCACATGGTCTCTCAACACCACCTGTCTGATCAACAAAGCGCAACAGCGCCTGTACTTCCTAAGACGGTTGAAGAAGGCTAAAATATGTCCCCAGATCCTCACTAACTTTTACAGATGCACTACAGAAAGCACACTAACATCACAGTGTGGTATGGCAACTGTAGTGCTGCTGACCGCAAAGCCCTACAGCGGGTGGTGAAAACTGCCCAGTATATCACTGGGGTTACCCTCCCATCTATACAGGACATTTATGACAGACGGTGCTTGAGGAAAGCTCTAAGCATAATCAAAGACCCCACACACCCCAGCTACAGACTTTATGATCTGCTACCATCTGGAAAACAGTACTGGAGCATTCGGGCCCGGACTACCAGACTCAGAGACAGTTTTTACCCCCGCACTATCAAACTATTAAACTCCCAGCCTCTCTCACTCTCACTCTCACCTCACCTCTCACCTATGTTCTGAACCTCACAGTGCCTTCTTCCTTTCTTTCTTTCTTTCTTACCAAAAACCCAAACACACATTGAAAATCTACCTCTACCATACATGTCAAAAGCTCACTCCCCATAATTTCTATCCCTTTATTTTATTCTGTTGATGCATATTATTGCACATAACCTTGATGGATATTGATGCATATTATTGCACACCTTTTTGTTATTGCACACCTTTTTGTTGTTTTGCACATTGCCTGTTGTTGTTTTTTGCACACTGCCTGTTTTCTCTTTCTTTTGCTACACAATTGTATTGTTGTTGTTGTTTTTTCTCTTTGTACTACTTATGTCCGAGAGCTAGCTAAATAGCATTTTGTTATACCATATACCATGTATATGAGTGTAATGACAATAAACATGAACTTGAACATACTCCATTGAAATAATGCCAATATTATAAAGGTGAGTGCAGTTCCTAATCATGCACTTGATAAAAATGACTTACTGTAAATATAATTCAAAATATGCACTGTACTTGATCTTTAAAATAATTATTTTTAAACATATTGTGATGTACGTAAAATACAGTGGTTTGTGTTAAAGCAACAAAGGATGGATGTTGGAAAAAACTTTTTTTGAACATTTTAATCCTGCAATAATTATAGTAAGACAAATACCTATTTGTCCTAACGGAATGTACATATAAAAAATGAGCACAAATCAGACGAGGCCATGTGAATTCTTCATGCTTTTTATTTTTAGTGTTATGCGACTTTAGAAGTATAAATATTTGTTTAATATACAACATCTATGACATCCATAGAGATTTCCTTGGGGAAAATACAAAATGCAAACACTTTTATTGCACAGATCGTAAAAGACAAAGCATTTATAAGCTGGCTCATCTAATACTAGTCAACACGTTGAGAAAGCGGAAAAAGAACATTTATAACATGACGGATCATTACACAGAGACTTGAACTGGATACCACACAGACCAACACAGTCTTTTACTTAACAGCTGGCTGGTAAAATGAATCACAGACTACACTATCACACGACACTTTCTGTGAAATTACCAAATGCAGCACAGAGATTTGGCAAAGTAATAATGCAATATACAAATTGTAAATCCATGATGTATCTGTAAACAAATGTAAAATGTGCTTTAAGAATTTAAACAGGACAATCTTCAAAACATCGGCATGGGAACCAAAAGGAGACATCCTAATGTTCTGATGACATTTAAATCAGCATTATTGTGCTACCTTTCTGTGATGTAGCAATTAAATAAAAATGCCTTTTTCCCTTCAAGCGGAAAAACAGAAGATAGAAATAGATACAGTATAAATATACCCTACGGGACTTGTATCTTGTTTCTACATAATTGTTTGTTAAAGAATTGAAGTAGGACAGAAATTTATCATTAAATGAATATCACTATATTTTCAACTAAGGTGCATTTTACCCATGATCAAGATACAAGGGGTCTTACGTAAAGATGGTCCTAAAATGAAGTATAATGAAAACTACAACCACACCTGCCCTCTGAAATGTTCAGTTAATTATTTTTTTCTTGAGTGCATTTCTAAAATGCTACATTCCAGTTTTATGTACTATTCTTTATTTTTTACTCTACCAAAGTACAATTAATACCTGCATAATCACTAATGCATCTAATATACTGGAAATATGTGTTTAATCTTTACTCCTCTAATTACAATAAAATATTGAAGGAAATCTCTTTTTAAAGGGATGTTTAAACAACCAAATGAATATCAACAAAGCATAAACCAGAACAAAAATGAATAATTATTTCCTTCCTCTTATTTTTCCATCTAAATAGTTGTAAACTTAAACTGGCACACCCTCTTATCTTTGCAACCCAGATAGCTTTAAATTGGGAACATTTATTGCAATTGCAGGAAATGCTTCTCATCTAGTTTGAAATTAATACATGCTGTGAACTACATTTACTCACTTTACTTTAATCACATTTTGGCTTAATAAATTCAGATGTTTAAAAACAGTAGTTCTTAGCATAAATCAGATTTCTTCGTGTACTGTACATCACAAGCATTTCCTAAGCAGTGACATAGAGCTTGGCGCATTGAAAAGACAGAGCAGGCCAATATTTTTCTATTACTGCACCTACCTTCCCTACTGGTGTAACTAAAACACATTCTTGTAAAACATTGCGTTTTATTTTTTGAAAGCATGAGCCTGTACACTAGGAAATGTGTGACTCCCTCAGCTATCCACTTCTTCCCCATTATGATCAGCCCCGGCAACCTCTGAGCTTCCATTTCAGTTGTCATGACAATGAGCAACTTGTATATTAAATGAATCACTAAAGGCTCTGTTCAGTTCACTTTAAACCAGGTGTCTGTCTTTAGGAGATCTGTGTATTTGTTGCGCTGTTAAAGGAGGTGAATGAATAGTTTCCCACAATATTTCAGATAAACGTAAAAATAATCTGAACATTGGTTTTACAGTATGTCCTGCTTCAATACAAGTAAAAATCAAACGTCAAAGCTACAAAGTGCTAAGAATTGACCAATTCATATACTGTAGCTCTCCTTGACTCTGATGTTGTTTTCAAACAGAAGTGAAACTTACAATAGCATTTTCAAAGGAATAAAAAGGCCAAGGATCAGAAAGAATATGGCAGAACTAATTAGTTCCTTAATATACAGTACAAACATAAAACCTAGCAATATATATATAAAAAGAAACAAAAAACATTCAAGCTTGAAGTAAGCCCATTAACCCCGTTTTATACAATTAGTAGTGTTTTATTTACATTATTTTGCATAAAAATTAAACTTTTAGAAATGTAAAAGAGATGTATGTGAAAGGAATGTGAATTTCACCAAAACTTGCTAAAAAGAAAGCAAGTACCACACCCCAAAACCATAAGGCCTCTTCCACTACATACAGTAGGTTTCAATGAACTAAAAGAACATTAATATGATTCGATATTAAATTGTTCCAGGTGAGTGACGGTAAACCGTGGCTTCCTTCTGCTATACTACTACGAAAAGCAAAACTATTTTCTTTTCGAGAGAAAAACACAGTAATTAATGAAAACAGTTTGGTGACATTCTCTTTATTTTATTTGTATAATTCCCTGACCGATGATTGCAAACAATGACATATTTAGTCTCTTTATGGTTCAAAAGTTTAAGAACACTGCAATTTCACTACCAGGAAAGTTTTTCCAAGTGAAAATAACCTAAAGTGATTAATCGGGACTGAAATGGATTTCGACAACTCAAATGCTGTAGTTTGTATTTCAGGTGGTCCCAGACAAGTGCTCAAGAGTGCAATTCAAAAAACAACTCAGCATTGGCACAATTGTTTTAAACCTTAAAAAGGCCCCTTCAGAATGCAGGTAACAAACCAATTACGCAAACTTCTGACATCACTAAAATATATTTTCTTTCGCAATACAAATTTGACACAGTTTTGACCTCCCCCCCCCCACTCAGCAGAGTACTTTTTTTTTTCAGGAACTGAGTAACCAACATTAAAAATAAAAATTTGGTAAATGAAGAAAATCAGCAGCAAATTATGTGATCTACATTCAGTTTTAAATTCAATAGTCTTGTTTTGTATATTTACAGAAAACTCTCCTTATGCACACACACGCACACACGCAGATATCATGCAGACTCTGGCATATTGGTTATGCTGTACAAATACTATATGGTAACAGTTTCACCGGTTCTTAATAAAGAAGGCATGTTGAAAGAGTGAATTTTTTCTACTACAATTAAAATGATACTGTGCAACAAAAACTGCTAGTCCTGTTTTGTTTTCTCGTACAGCACAGTACGGAAAAAGAAGAATAAATACACATGACAGCTGACCTGGCTTATTTCTCTTCTTCTCTCTTTTACTAAGATTTTTTGTGTGCACTGCCACGTGCTGGTTCTTTAAATTGTTTCTGCCGACCATAGTCCTTCTCTGAAGATGTACCATCTTGTAAAGAAGAGGACATTTTTGATGCGTCTTTACGAATGTTTTTTGACTCAGGTGTCTGCTCTTGGGCCAGTTCTTTTCCTCTAAGCTCAACTGTGTCTTTTTTATGAGGGGTCAAAACCTTATCAGAACACCCTGTTTTAGAGTCAGAAGCCCCTTGCTTTAGTTCACATTTTGCAGTGCTGGCAGCTCCCCGCATTTCTCCAGTGTGTCTCTGAGAATCCCACTTAGGGCCATCAGCATGGCTTCTGACAACGCCTTCCTTGTCCATATGTACACATTTATCGTCTATTGTGTTAACCTTGACGGAAAGTGCTTCATTGTGCATCTGTGCTTCTTTTTTTTTCTCCCCAGATGCCGACTTCTGCAGAGGTGCCACATTTGGAAAAACAGTTTGACCACTGCAGGGCAGCTTTGTTGACTCTTTCTGAGGAGGCATTTTACTGGGGATTAATGAAGACATTGGCTCCTTCTGTTTTGTGTCAAGCACCTCCTTAATTGTTGACTTTTCTGCACTTTTTTCATCACAAATCCTGGACTCCCCCTCTGCTTTACTGGCACTGCTTGGAGTACACGTTTCAACTCTCGTCTTGGTTTTGGAACTTTTTTCCTTTAAATTTGCCTGCCTTCCAGCATCTGTCCCAGACCGTGATTGAGCATCTGCTGTAGAATGACATTTTATTGTTTGCACTTGAGAAAGAGGCTCCTTATTTTTAATGTCGGGTGTTTGCCTTTTCTGTAGTGGACTTTCATTATCAAGTCCTACCACTTTAGTTGCACAGTGCTTTACCTGAGTCCTTGACTCTATTGTTTTAGCTTTCATTTCTTCTCCAGTCTCTCCCATCTTAGTACTACATGTCTTTGTCTTTGGTGGATTGTTTTGCCTCAAGATCACATTGGCCTCTGCCTGATTAACACTGCTACAGGTGTCCTTCTTTTGATCAGACACCATTTTGAGTGAATTACATGATGGGATATTGCAGCTCTCTTTAGATTTAGTGCATTTTCCTTCTGACTTCGTATTTTGCTCTTTGACTTCAGCCTTCCTATTCCCCGAACCTTTAGAGACTTTTGGTTCTTTTACAACAGACAAACTAGCAGAACCAGTGTCATCTTTTAAAATTGATGTGCTTGTTTGGATTTTGTTGGTGCTTTGAGCTTTGGAATTACTATGTTGTTCCTGTAAGGCATGTGTAGTACTTGTTCTATCTGTAGAGCCTACATCTGAAATAAAATAAGTCCTTTGGGGTACTAGGGTTTTTGTATTACTTCTAACAGATTTGTGTTGTGATTGGCTCTGTGCTGTCACTTCAGATGTCACTTCTGAGAGAAATCTCTGTTTCTCATTGTTTTTTTCCTGTCTTGCAGGAGAAAGCTTAGAACTGAGCATAGTGGTTGGTAAATCTTTTATAGTAGGCTCCTCACTGTTAATACCTGTCTGTGTATTAATGCATTGCTTATTTGTGCTTAGCTGCTGGACAGATGTTTCATGCTTCGTGCAGGTATTGGATATCTCACTCTTGGCAGACAGCTGCCCTTTTGGACTTCCTGATTTAGAAGTAGTTGGAACAGAGGTCTGTTTAGAATCCTCTTTGATGTTTTCAGTCTTAAAATTAAGTATTTCCTGGGGCTTCAGTTCTACCACTTTTTCAACTTGCACTTCATTATGAGCCTCTGTTGCTGAAGGGCTTTTCCCAGGGCAAGACTGCCCTACAGGGCTAGAAGCATTCAAATCGTGTACACCTCTCTGGTTTGCTTTTGTGTTAATCTGGGTGTCTCTGTTTGGATGTGTTTGACTTATATCAGAAGTCTCTTTCTTTGGAGGACAACTGGCTACCTCACTTGTTTGATCAATTGTTCTTCTGCTGCTATTAGACTGCCTCTTACGCTCGATGCTTCCTTTTTCAATTTTAGATTCTTCTTTTAAAGGGCTTTTGCAGTTCATTGTTACTGAAGGTTCAGGGCTCACAGAATACACTGAAACTCCTAACTGCTTCTCCACCTTTGGCTTCTGTTGTGACAATTCCCTCTCATTGCAGCCCTGCTTTGGCACCACTGAGGCCGCCAGAGTGCTGCCATTTTGGTTTTCTGCCATTTTAGACAAACAGGTTTCAGTTTTTGATGTCCTTGGCCCAGAGAGCATTCCAATGTCCAGTGTGCCTTCTAGTGGTTTTAAAGATGAGACTAACCGCCCCTCTAGTTTATACTCAGAGGAAGTCTTCCTGATGGGGCCCTCAGTAGATGAGATTAACTGAAGCTTTTCCACAGCACTTTCACCTCTCCCACTCATCAATTTTGGAGCCAATGATTCAGTGTTAATCACAGGAGCTGTGTGGACACTTCCGATTGCTCCTTTAACATGGTCCAGAACCGAAGAAGAGTCTAATTGCAAGCTTTTGGATCTACTTGCACTGAGATGAAGACCCTCATGAACTGTGGGAGTTATCCTGCTTTTAGGGATAGGGCAGATACAGTCCTCTCTTTCATCAAAAGACTGCTTCTTTCTGGCAAGTTCGATATTAGGAGCCTTGATATCCAATCTTTCAGATTTGTTGCTTTCCTTTGCTTGTCTTGATAACATCTCCACATGGTCTCTGTATTGTCTCTCTGCTTTTGAAGGGGTCCAGTCTTGAAGCACTGAACTTGATGGGGATCTACTACACTCATTAAGCATGGATACAGACTCACCCCCCCTGCTCAAAACAACACAGTATGAGCCTTGTGTTTCAGGAATATTTTCACTCACTCTTGTGTTCAATTTCTTATACAGAGTGTCTTTCAGTGTATTACTTGCCATGTGAGGTTCACACATAACTGCTTCGGGACTGCCCATTGTTCTGCTACTAGCTCTTTGAGAAAAGCATTTGTCCTTATCATCTGAACAAGTGGAGGACACATGCTCAGGTTCAAAACTGGATTCTTGCAGGGCATCCTGTTTCTGCAAGGACTCACGCCTGTCCGCCCAGTCTTGTCTCTTCATAACCACCTTCGCCTTCAGCTTTTCCTTGTCCAGGTCATCAATGGATTCTTGCCTCCCGATTTTGCGGGTGGCTGGGCGCTTCAAACAGCCTTGCTCTGCAGGCCGGACGCGTGTCACCGTGGGAGTCTCACATGCCGTCTCCTCCAGACTCTGCAAACTGGGGTCTTTCTGAACGGGTTCTTTCTGGGACTCTTCCTGGGTCACCTCCAGGCTGTGCTTGCGAGGGCACAAGTGCTTTTTATCACTGCTGTAGGAAGGGGAGAGTTTCTCCTCAGACTGTACTCGCTTGAGCAGGGGGGACCTTGGAGGCTCGGCACTTTTGGGCCTCACCATATGTCTGACAATGGTTGGGGGGGAATGCATCTTCCCTGGGAAGGTTTGTGTCGTCTTAGAGCTTCCAACTGAGTGCCCCAGCAGAGGGGACGGTGATCGCTGAGGAGAAGTAGGCTGAGGAGTCGGGGAAGGTGTGCGGGCCAGCGGAGAAAGGGGAATGCTGCCGGCGGACTTTCGCCGCCCTTGCCTGTACCTCTGCCCAGTCAGCTTTGGACCCAGGCCATGGAGAGTGCTCGGTCTGATGTGGCCGGAGCCAGCAGGAGAGTTTGGAGCACTTGAACTGGGTGAGCTGCTCTGGGAGGAGGTAGCACCTGCATAGAAAAAAAAAAACAGAATAGAATAGAATGATATACCCAGGTATCAACAGAAACCTTTGAGTTTTGTTCATCAATTAATACAGAATTGCAAGTTATTTACAGCTTCATTTATTATTAATGCATTTTATTAATTACATTTTATTAAATTAATAATAAGGTTATTAGCTAAGGTAGAAAATGGCAGTTTAAGTAGTACCTCAAATGAGAAAGGCATTGTAAAAATCTAACATTTTTAAACAACTTGGCAGGATTGGTTATAACCGAATTCCTAACTACAGAACATTTGAACTGGAGAAATCATGAAGGAACGTTGATTATAGTGCTCCTGCACACACACCTGACTGACTGAAGTCTGGGGTGGAGCGGAAGGCTGTAGTGGGAGATCTGGGAGACAGGCTGTGTGTTGGGGAGCCGGGCAGACTCTCTCCTGAAGACAGCGAGCGGTTCAGTGAGGAGAAACTCCGACTGGTGTGCAGCAGAGGTGAAGGCTGCATGGCGAAGCGTCGAAAAAGGGAACGTCTCCTGTAACAGAGAAATTTTAATTGGCTTTTTTTCACAGAGCTGAAAAGAGTGAAAGAAAAAAGAGATATCTCCATAATTCTTCCAACTCATGGTCTAGCAAATAGACATTTCATTTTATTATTTGAAAATAACTACATTTTACTGAAAGCTACAGTGACACCCTGTGGGAAGAGAAAAAGAAAAAAAACAGCACACTTAAAAGAGAGCATCACTAAATGTCTTCCATATTTTGGTGACATCGGGAAGAACACTGCACATAATGTAGCAAGAAATGACTACTGTTATTTCTTCATCTCCTAGTGTCATTTACAGATGTGCAGTAACAGACCAATATACTGCACATTTAGACTAATATTTCAATACTGATTTAAATGCGTAAACATTTTCCTTGTTACTGCTCTTATTATCAGGACAACTTAAATTTAAGCAAGCATACTAAAATTCTGTTTAGTCCTCAAGTGTGCATAGAGGGTTGCAGATGGTAATTTTTTACATGAACCACCCAAAAGGTTGTGCTAACCTTTCCTGAGTCTCCTTCTTCTTGGGTTTCTTGCTGCGACGCACCATCTTGCTTCTGTAACTGTTTCTCCGTGCAGGGCCAGTTTTGATGGAGGTATTCTCAAATGGAGTTGTTGTGATGGCTACTTTGCTTCCACTCTGCAACAAAGTGCAATAAAATTAGCTGATGACGCTATGATAATATGGCACGCTGCACTTTCCCAAAAACAAAAGGTGCATATTATAAAACATATACCTTGGAGACTCCCTTTTCTTGTTTAAGATATGAAAACTACCTCACCTTTAACAGCAGCTCCACAACTTCAGTATGAACAAGTCCGTGCACAGGTTCCCCATTCACGTGAGTGATGAGGTCTCCAGCTTTCAGCCCAGCTAAGTGGGCTGGGCCGCCATCCTCCACATTCTGAAACAGTAGTGTAATGCACAAGTGATCAGCTGCTTCCATCCCTTTGTTATTCCTAATTAGCTTTCATTATCAATCAAACCTTTATTGGCTATAGTGCCCTTTGCCACATTTAACCACAGAGTGTTATACAGAATTCCATAATGGCTAATAATATTGCATAGCTGACCATGTGGGAAATGAGGAGAGACATCGTCACTAAGCATTGCGATTTCTTATGACTTTCATAGAGACTGATTAAAGTGACAAATTGCTCCTAATTGCATCCTATGCCATCTGTAGCAAGCTGTTTACTGCATTGTTTTTTCACAGGTGATTATTTTAATGCTCTTCACACAGGAGTCTCCTTAAGTTTCCATACTTCAGAATTTGGAAGCTAGAATACTGACTACAGTACGTCATGTGCATTCAATGTGCTTCCTGTCAGATTTCAAATTCATTTTCAAGTACTTTTACTGCTCTTGAAAGTAGCTACTGTACTCGTTCTTTTATTTATTTATATCCCATCATGTGACCATCACTCTAATTGTGGTTTATCATTTGTTCTCAGAAATCATTTATATTCTGTGGGTGAAGGGGTCTTTGACTGTTATGCCCTGAAGCTCTGGGACACCTTCCTAAAAGAAATCAGGGACTTAGATCGAGTCTGAAAAAACATTCAGAAATAATATCTACTGTATGCTTGCTTTGTTTTCACATGTAGGTCAATAATCTTACTCTTAGAAGTTTTAGAAGTTTGCAATAATGCTGTCAGATGACTGCTTTTAATGGAACAATGTAAAATAAAGATTTTATCACTGAACGTCTGCCTTTTTCAAAGCTTCGTGTACAAGCTCCTACCTCTTTCAGAAAATGTACTATATTTTTGTGAAAACATGATTAACAGCAGGGTTTTGCTACTGTTAGTCATGTTTTCTGTAGCCAGAAATCATGTATTCATGTAATGGTACTGCTAAAGGATGTAATGGTAAAAGATTGGAGGGTGATTTTTAATATTTCAAGTACAGTTTGTAAACCAGAGGATATTTTTTTGAATTTTTTCCCCAACAAGCTACCTCAAGATAAATCTCTGAAAGTTTCATCTGTTAAAATCACTTGCAATCAACTTTTTTTTTTCGTTCACAGCCTCCAAATTTGAATTTTTATTAGTTTATTATTGAATTAATTAGTTTAATTTCTTGGATTGGGAGTTTTTTTCCCCTGATGTGCCAAATGACAAAAACAGAGATATATGTACATTTGAAAACAAAGGTTATGAAATACAAACAGTAAAATTGTCATGTTAACATTAAGCAGTTCAGGTGGGTAGCTGCATCAGCATGCGTAGGCTGCAAAGGAACAAGGAATAGGTTTATTCCATGCTGAAAAAATGAAGAAAGAAAACACAACGTTTCGGCCGTGGAGCCTTCTCCAGGTGTTTTACCTTCCTAAAGGCTCCACGGCCAAAACATTGTTTTCTTTCTTCTTTTTTTTAGCATGGAATAAACATATTACATGTTAACATTAATCTGAGTGAAAAGATAGATCACTAAAATATGCACACACAAGGAGACACAACAGCTAGCCTCCTTACCCAGACCATGTGGTACACTGTATAGATGTCACTGTCACAGGCGTATACTCGGATGGCGCGCAGCGTGAAGCCGAACTTCTTGCCAGAGCTGTGAATGACGACAGGCTGCCGAGGACTGACTGCGCAGAGGGACGAATCCCGGCTAGGAGACGAGTCTCTTGAGGAAGGGTCCGAGGACAGGGAATGAGGGGACATTGGGCTGCCAAGAGGGGACACACCAAAAACATCTACGGGCGCAAAGGAAGGCAAAAGGAAAGGAAACACCGTTGTGTAATTGCAAGTTTTGAAAAAAAAAAACTCAATAAAACATTACTATGAAGATGACACATCAAAGTACATAAAAATGTTCCCATTCCATAACTTCAGATTACTGTATATTATAAATAAATCCACTGAGAAAGTTTTGACCAATTAATATTAGAAAAAGTAAAAGGAGAACTGGTATAGACATACAGTACCAAGAAAAATATTTGTTGTAAAAAAAAAGGCTCCTTTAGAGTCAGTCTCAAATAAGTTTAGTCATTGTCCACAATATACTGTATAATTCAAACCTGCTCCCCCTTTCTGACGGATGTTTGTTCTAACTGCAACTGAGACCAATGGATATATTTTTTCTCTCCGCACAAATGTGAAATGAAGGCTTTTTCCATTCCGTTTTCAGTGAACTGGGATTTTGCACCAGCAAAGGTGACTCTTCAGAAGTTCGAACATGCATTTTAATAAAGGGCTTCTAAAGGGAGTCATAGCATGTGATTTCATGGCTTATATATTTCTCCTCACCTCCTGGGATCATAAGGGAGAGAGCGCTGGCGGAGACAGACTTGGTGACTTTGGTGGGGATTTTCTGTTTCTCTGTGCTTTCCGGACACTGATGAGCCAAGTGAGAACCCAGAGCTCCCGATGCCTTTGAAGCGTTATCTGGGCTTTCCACACCTTCTCCACGTGTATGGATCTGATCAAGATGTTCAGAGAAGCTGCCTACTAAAAAGAGGTTTAGAAACAAAGGCAATATCAAAATAAATCAGAGTGGCATCCTTTGTAACTTCTTGAAACCCTGAGGAAATGCTGCCTTTACCGAGTCCTTTGAAACATGCACTTAACATAACCATGTCATTCAACTTTAAGGATTAGTTATTTTAAGATGGGGAGGACTTTCAGTATGAGATTCTTCTCTTCTAGCAAATTATTTATTAAACCAGCACACACTTTTTCATGACATCCCAAACATTTGGAAATGGTGTCTGACCAGTTTGTGTGCAAGTTCCCCAGTACAACGGTGTTCAAACAACACTCAGTTATTAGGCAGGGAAGTGAGAGGTCAATGTACCAGAGAGAGTGGAGCCACTCAGGGTGCTGGCAGGAGTGGTGGCTTCGGGCTCATCCTGCGGCGGCTCACCGATGGTGAAAGCTACTTTCTGAGTGTCACCAAGGGCCACAGACTCGTCACCCTCCTCCATCTCGGCGGAGATGGCAAACTTCGGCAGCAGCCCCGAGCGCCGGCTGAGACTGGTGCTCTCGGCGTCCGAGGAATGAGACAAAGAGGGCCTGTGAAGGAGAGGTCGCGTTGAAAAACTAAACAAATTCAGGTCAAACTATTATTTACCACACGCCCTCCATTCTATAAATGTTTCATTTATAACCTGCTTTACATTATTTCTGAGCCTTTCAGACAATATAAATCAGAGTGAAACATATGTTACTTCCTTCAGAGGTGGACCCTTTTATCTGCAATATAATGTAAAAGACTATGGCAACATCACAATTATGGTGCACTCAATATCTGGTGCCAAGGTACTCATGTCTATTATACTATTGCAAAAATATTCATAAATAAATAAACCGCCAGTCAACTTTCTTAGTGGCAGGCAACATGTGGAGAACAAAGATCTTAATACTGAAGAACTGATGAGATATAAATTTCATACCACTAGCCCCTCACTATAAGCACGGTTTAAAAACATCCTTCAAGAACAATGGCATTGTCCCACTAATTTATTGTAGACCAAGCCAACTTGAAATACATAGATGCAACTCCATCTTGCTAAAAGCCAAACGCAGTTTATACATTGAAGTCTGCTAGAACATCACTTTGGATGCATCTGCACTTGCATTCCAGATCTGGAAAACTCAAGGACTCCAATATATTGTTTAATGTAATGGTGTATTTACACCCATTTAAAACAATAGATGGTATAGTATGTCTGCCCACAGACATATGCTGCCATGGCCATCTGCATTTTGGTAAAGATGTGCTCACATTACACAAACATGCTGGTGCTGTAGTGTGACATCAAGACAGAGCACAGTAAACGTACCAAAATGATATCAGAAGTTTAGATATTATAATAAATAGCAGTTACTGGGGTATAGCTCAGTGGCATTTGACTGCAGATCAAGAGGTCCCTGGTTCAAATCCAGGTGCCCTCTCTGTATGTGACTCTTGTTTCTTACCTGTGAACACCTTGTTCATCAATTTCCCTTCAATATTAATAAAGTCTTACCTATCTATATCTTTTCATTTTATAATAATGAGATAACATTGAAATGGCCTTTTTAATTGAAGTTCCTCTTTGAAATCAAGTGTCAGAATGAATTAGGTGACGAAAGTAATGTGACGGGGTTGCTCGTTGATGTACCTCACCCCAGAGAAATCTCTCAACTTGATCTGGAAGTTCAGACTACAGACTTTTAGAAGTGACAGACTTGTGCCAGTAAATCCAACTGTAACAAGATGCATCTTCAGATTTTGTGGAGATAAAAAGGATGCAGAAAACATTTAGTAATGTAATTGTTCAAGTGGGAGATCAAGCCTATATTTCTGTGACTTACATTTCACTGAACTCAGGCGTCCAGCTGAGAGAGTCCACAGTCAGAGGACTTCCGCTCTTCGTCTTCTCACCCAGCTCTCCCTTCTCCTCTACTTGGCTGCGGGATACCAAGTCCATGCTGCTGAAGACCTGGCATCAAAATCAGACAAGACTACAGCTTTGGAGAGCAATGATATTGCCCATTTCTAAAAAGACTGATCAGAAGGATAAAACAATTGCTGATAAAATGAAAAGCAGTCTTTGATAAGAGCTAGGACTTACTCAGCACTTATGGGTATAAGCACCCACACTGTATTACTGCTAGAAACGTGTCTAATAATCAGTATTAGCTTAGCAGATTTCACATACCTCTTAGATTGTAATAATTGTAACTAGGAGATCTTTGATTTGACATGTTTCTATTCCTGATAAAGTTTCAGTCTAAATCTCAAATTAAGCAAATGTCACTTTCTCACCTTGCACTGCTGTAGAGGATGATTGTTTGTGTTAAAACTTTGGATGCACATAAATCTTAAGATTTATCATCCTGTGTGGTTGACTGTGTAAATTATATTAAGTGTTCAAAAAACAATACTTTATGCATGTGATAGTATATACAAGTCAGTGATTTATAGTTCATCAAGTTAACATATTGCATAACTACTGCTCAACTCATAAAGAGAATAACATGTCATACCAATATATAACTACAGACATGTTTCTGTAGCTGCAATGTTTTATGCAAAAGAAAACACAAGCTGTGCTTAAAGCATGACTTACTTTAGAGAATCTGTGAGAGCAGGAGGAGAATTGCCTTATCTCCACATTAAAGTCTTCATCATTTGTGTCATCCTCCTCCTCAGTTTCCAAATGATGGTACCTTTCTGATCGAGCTGTGTGTAGGAATGGAGTTGGTTCAAAGAACTGCTTACAGTACACATAACAAAAATGTAAAGAACTAGAAGTAACTTATGTTGTGCTCATAACAGACCTTATTGTGGAACTTGTCTCAGAAAGGAATTGCAAAATAAGATAACCACAGCAAGTTGTAAATGAAACTGAGGACCAACTCTACACACAGGTACTTACTATCAAAATAGCTGGTGTCATCTTCTGACTCCAGCTGTGGGATGAACTCAGCCTTCTGTCTCAGGAGACTGTTCCAGTCCAGATTGTAAAAAAATTGATGCTGCTTAACTTCATAGGCTCCACCTCAAAGAAAAACAAAGCAAACAAAGCAATTTCAGCAGTGTGGTAACTTAAATGAAGAAATGTGAAGAGAAGTGCAGGTGATTCTCCTAAATATTTATTTAGAAATAAACAGAAAACATATACTGTATATATATTATGGATTAATCCAGTAAAACACACAGTTGTAAAACTGGGTACCTGTATACTGTATATGGAAGTCACATAGAATAAAACAATCAGCCAAATACATTCTTAAACGCAATATTATTCAAAAATAACTGAAATGCCACTGCTCTTAAAAGGTTAATATTCCTGAAAATGTCTCCTTTTAAAGAGAAGGGTCTCCATTTGAACACAGATTCCGTTATCTCAAATCTTCCCATAAGATTACAATAAATGCTTACTGGTTTTGATTTAATCAAGTTTAAGGCAGTCAGCTGACAAAATGGCAAGCTTTTTGCTTATACTCAGGTCAGGCTTAAGCATACAAAATATTACTTCCACCAGCATGACATACATTAATGCTGTCTATGATGATCTTATCTGTTTTATGAATGGAAAAGGGAAATTCTAAAAACAATCCCCTATGTAAACAGTTCCCAATGTAATTCCAGCATCTATAAAAGGATTCCAGTAAACCCAAGAAAATGGAGAACTTGGGTCTTGACTGCAGTTTTTTCCCTTAGTGAGTGTCAATTAACAATTAACTGATCACAAGAATGACACTAATAAATACAGCACGTATTTATAATAAAAACATAATCAGTACAACATATTTTGAAGATATCAAACTTACGACAGACTTTTAAAGCTTGACCTTGGGAAGTTATAAATGCCGTGAACAGAACAGCTGCATGTATTTTTGAGGTAATGGATATAATCACAGATATGTCCATTACGGTTAATCCTAGCAACCCTGTTGGTTGTTTTGGTACAGTGGGAGTTGTAAAATATACTGTAGCTGCACTTGCATGACAGCGCAGACTTACCTGTGCCCATTCTCTCCAGGGGGTTCTGTCTGAGCAGCAGCGTGATGAGTTCCTGGGCATCAGGGGGAGGAGCTTCCTCCCCATCAGGCCAGTTTATCTCATCTGGTTGAGAACAGGCAGGGCAAAGGATGTAATTACAAAACACCTGGTTACCGGTGTGAAGAAAATCATGTTAAGTGACTTTCAAATTAGAAAAAAAGCAATGGTACAGTGCTACACATCATAACGTTGTAGAAGGATGCCCATAGTATCTAATTCAGCTACCTTAGATTCAGTTAGAAATTCACTGGGAATTTTTTCTATTTTGCTCAAACTAAAGCAGTCTGAATCCTTTTATTTCCACTTCACAGGCTTCGTTACTATCTTCCTGTGGTCATGGGTGAGTGGCATGTTCTGTTCCTGTGTTTTCACACTGAAATTACCATTGTTCACTTCTGAAGCACAGAGATCTCATTACTACTTTACTTCTTTTATCTCAAAACTGACTTAGTTCCTGACTTAGGTCACTCTCCAGTGCATGAACCTTTTAAATATCTTCTGGCATCCAGAAATGCAAGAAGACATTAGGTCATATGTATGCTGTGATACTCAACTCTTTAAATTTCTGAACAATGAACAATCACTAAATTAATAAAACATGCAGTTTAAACAACAGAAATGGGGCCCTTTTATATTTACTGTAGCAAACAGGAAAGCATTTGTATGCACTTGCGAAAGAGTGCCTGAGGACGTGTGAGGCAAACCAATTAGAAAATTGAGTTATTTCCATGATTGTCTAGCCAGCAGCTTGTACCACAGATTTTAATCAGATTTGGAAGAAAAACATGAATATGCATTTGAACCTTAAGGCCATGGCAGCAGTTCTAAGTGTGTTCTTCTTCCCTTAATTAACCATCTATTCCCTTGCCCTTTAAAGCCAAACTAAAAAAATACAATATAAATCCATTCATTTACATAGTGCTGCATAATAGGGAGCTTAACTCTGTTCCCTGTTTATACAGTTGCTTGCTGTGCTTAATGAATCTCAGTATAGCAACTGAGTTGACTTCAAGAGATTGATGGGGATTGCCCACATTGCCTTCAGGAGGACTCTAAAGATACCCATGCTGTTTTCAAAAACACAACCAGGGCAGCTCAAAATACAAACCGCTCGTGGAACACATCATTACGAGGGAAATAATTGGGCTTTTATTTCCTTCTGAACTTTGGGGGGCATACAATGGAAAGCTGGGGATTTCAAAAACTGCAAGGGAACTCTGAAAACAGCAGGTGAGAGGGCTGGGGAGTCTATTCAATTACCATCTAGCTTCGCTGCAAGGCCTCCACAGCCATACGGGTTGGCTTAGGGGCTTATGTTTGAAAGGTTATTGAATTTTAGATGTGGAGGGAACAGCTGCTCCATCTTCAAACAAACAGCACTACACCCCTTTCCTTTTATACATTAAATAAACACATACTGTTTTTTTTTTATTTATCAAAGAAATCTTCTAGTGATGGCTAAAGAATACAGAATTGAAATCCAGCGTTTTAAGTGCAGTTTGATTTGTATTTTACCGCTTTTTAAGAGATCATTTGCAGGAACTGAATATTCAGTTAACCTTGATCATACTTTCAACGAGTACTTAACATCCTTTTTTTTAATTATGAGTCTAAATTGTTTAACCAAAGGAAATGTAAGGAATAAAGCAGTTTGCGGTTTCGGCCGTGGAGCCTTCTTCAGGTGTGTGACACACCTTGTTGACACACCTGAAGAAGGCTCCACGGCCGAAACGTTGTGTTTTCTTTCTTCTTTTTTCAGCAAGGTATAAACCTATTACTTATTCAAATACAGTTTTTGCCACACTAGTCTCTGAAACCTGAGGCCTGGAATGGTGCTTCAAGCCCTATTGCTTTAGCTCTTGTCTGGAACCTTCAGGCCTCATAAGTGACACTAAAGGCACAATTATTTAACCTGCTAGAATCTAGACTGACTACACCTTTAGAAATGATCATCTTTGCATAGCAATTACCCCAAATACACACTAGAGTACATATTATTTTAGTCTACCATCTGTACAGTACACGTACATATTCTCTGGAAAGCTCGTTCTGCATAATGAACAAGAAATGCACTTGCCACTAATAACTTGTCCAAACAGTTCTTCGGGAGTGTCTCCAAAGAAGGGCACACAGCCAACCAGAAATTCATACAGGATGATTCCCATGGCCCACCAGTCCACTGGTTTTCCATAACCCTGGCGCAGAATAACCTCTGGAGCTATGTACTCTGGAGTTCCACACACCTGCAAACAACACAACATTTACAACAAGGGAAGAGCTGGCACTTACTGACTCTTTCATAAACAAAGAGGAGTTTCTCTGTACAGTATCTTTGAGAGTGATAAGAAGACCAATATCTTACCCTTCATATCACAGCCATTTCTTGACTAGTAAAATCTAAAGAAGGAAAACGTTCCAGAAGAATCTTGTGGAATATTAAAAAACAATGGCGAGTGCAGTGTCTGTTGCTAATCGAGATGTATGGAGGAATCCAATCATTTTGGAATTCCATTCATAATAATTTAGCAGAACAAAACATTTATAAAAGCATTCCATTTCTAGGTGCTATTTATTAATGAAAAACTGCACTGGATTTAAATCTGAAATATACACTAACATTCACAGCAGTCAAAATCACAATACCAGTAGTTTTATCAGTTACTGTCATGCAAGGACATTTAGAGTGTCGTTTGTACTTTTAGCAGTGCAAATAACTATATGGTGTCTAATTTGCAATGCCATTTATATACTGAAAGCAAAAGTGTGATGTGCACTAGATGGTACTTATACCTTTTAACTGAAATAAGTTTTAAGTTCTATTTAAGTTGAAATATAATATTTGTATAATGTGCATTGCTGAAAACAGTGTGGTTAGGAGAATAATCCAGACTATAGCAATGGATGCAAAGGGAATCGATTCTCTGATGGACAGACTAGATTAATGAAGCATGGCCCAGCGTCAAAGTGCTGAACTCTTCCAGTCAACATTATGAGTGCCTTAGATTATCTTTGATGTGAACTGAAAATCTCTGTTTTTTTTAAGAGTTTTGAATAACTCTGTAAAAAACCTTGTAAAGCAAGTCTGTGTGTCCTTGTTTGGTCTCTGTGACAGGTGCAATCATAGCCATCAGCCGGGATTCAGTTTGCATCTTGTCTAAGCCAGCACACCCCACACATGAAGCAGGTGCACTTGGTGAAGTTGGACTGTAAAGTAGTGTAGTCTTGTAGTCAACACTGCAATCTACAGCGAGTCCAGCGCATTAGCAGTGCAGCAGAGTGAGAGACCCTATTTTTATTTATCTATGCAAATTGAGTAGAACATAACAAACGCATACAATAATTGCATAATGCAATGCAGATATTTCTATTTTTTATTATACCATCAAATGATCATGTCCTAATAGCCCAGTACTCCAAACATTCTAGGATGCTTTCAAGGGTGTTAATAGTTTCCCTAAACTGTCATTTCAGAATCTTGTGGATATAGTGTTTGGTCAGCTGATGAGGTCACAGACCAGGTAGACAATGATAATGTGTGAAACTACACCTTGGATCTTGAAGGAATGGGATCTCGTAGACAGTTGGTGGGTTTCATTCTGAAAACTAGCTTATTAAGTATGCAAGCAGAATGCACATGTACCAGAAGCAGTGAATTTTGCTTAACAGTTTTGTATACTTGCCATTCCCTTTGGGTCTCTGGCTCTGTTCAATCCTGACTGATATCAGAGATCTGGGTTAGAGGAGCATGTCTTTGTACTGTACACACACTTCCTCATAACTCCTAGTACAATACAAGACCCATCTACTGTACTCCCCACAGAACAACAGCAATAGTTATAGAGGTAAATGTATTGCTTTTTTTTAATACTGCTATCTACCAAATAAAGCGGTTCACATTTTTTGTTTTTTTTTGGGGGGGAACACAACAATTCTTTAACATTGCCTTCTGATGATTCCATTTCATTCAAAGACAGGGTGAATGATAACTAATTATACAGTAGGTTAGTGTTACCTGTCCCTTAAACAGACTATATACAGTAGGCGATTCTGATCACTAATCCCAGATGGAATATAATTTGCATTTCAGTCTTGCAGTTTACCAACTGATACACATTCACTCATCTCTTTCTTTACAAAAGGTCATTTGTCCCTCAAAACTGTTCATTATAAAAAATTGCATACAGTATGACTCTTTCCCAAGGTCTAGAAAATAGTTAAATATAACTCATTGTTACCTAAAGAGTACTGAACTGGCAAAATAAGAACACTTTTAGGTTCATGATAATTAGTTTGTTTAACTTAGTATAGCAGTTAACATTATACATGAAATGCAGAAAAATTGTAACTTTTGTTGAAAAGATACCAGACAACTATGTTCGAAGTAACGCAAATGCATTTTGAACACTCAGGTTTTACAGTCAGTGAAAATACTTTGCTTATTTTCTTTCCTTTTGTGAAGTCTGAGGCATTGGCAACATGCTCTGCTGACATAATGTTAAAAATAAGAACTGTGTTCAATGATAAGAATTACAAGTAAGATTAATGGAAGGTAGCTACAAGGAGAGAAGGCTTGAAAATAACTGTCAATTATTCAACTGTAAAGAACTGTCAAATGTCAGAGGGGTGAAGGTACATAGTTTTAATTTCATTTTTGACAGTTCTTGAATGAAACATCTCAACAATATTATTTTCAACATAACAGAGGTTATTTAATCTTGAATAAACACAAACTAAGATGTTTAAATATAGCTAATAATCGCACATATCCTGTAGCCAGAATTCAAGAAGCAAACTAAATGCTACTGCACTAGCCAGATTTTGAAACTCTCAATATAATTTGCTCTGGGATGCTGTAGCACACAGAGCATTTTATAAAATGTGCAGAAGACAATCACTTGTCACATTTTTCTGTTTTACAACTATACTGTACCTTAAGTCATTTACACAACATACAAAGGTATTAAGAAAGTGTTTTTAATACTCTTGACTTGTCTTATTGAATTAAGAGAATTATAATCTAAAACTATATTTAAAATATTAGCTATGCCCACATACCTGTTTGTCTAGAAACTCTCTTGCGTCTTTCTCAATGTGCCCCTCATACAGGTTAGTTGTCATGTTCATTAATCCCACCTTGGACAGTCCAAAGTCTGTGAGCTTGATGTGTCCCATGGATGTTACTAGCAAACTAAGGAAGAAAAAAAAAAAGATTATTATGTTAGAAAAATGAGAAATTGTTTATACACACATCCATTAGGGCTAATTTCATTATCTAGGGTGAAGTGGTTGAATAATTGTGAACTGTGCTCAATGTGCTGCTTTAAAACTCAGGAGCACCATAGCTTAGAGAAAGCAGTATTGTACAAGCTGTTTATCCTCCTGTCATGAAGCAGAGAGACCCTGCTTCAAACTTCAAACCAGTTTCATAACCTTCGTGGTAAAAAAATAAAAAAATGTTCCTATTGAAAAGACAAGCAGTCTATTGAATAGAAGCAATTTATATACCCATGAGAATCCCATACTGGCTAAAATAAATTGCCTCAGGAGTGTGACTAATACAATCAGAGATGGAACATTTCAAAGAGAGCATTTAATGTTTTTAGTTCAATTTAAAATATAATTCATAATTCAGCATCAAGCCTAATAGAAATAAGGTTAATTCAAGGGTAGCTCTCCAAAAGGCTGAAATGTGACAGTATTATTCCAGTTCTGCCCACATGTAAAACTTAGCTCATAACTCAATAAGATTCCAAATGAAACCATTATAAAATTACTGATTTCACAGAAATGTAATTTCCTGTGTGAATGTAAGTACTCAGATATTTTAAATTAACAGACTGATATATGTAATTACACTGCCATGGTCTTCAAAAGAAGAAAAACATCAAAAATGACTTAACCCAAATCCAAACATACAGTGCCTTAAAAGAGTATTCAGATCTTTGTACAGTTTTCAAATTTAGTTGCTTTAAAGCTTACAGTCACAACACTTTGAAGTAGCAATTAATGTTAGTTATACTGTATATACAGACGTATTCAAACACTTAGATGTAGCAATCCTAAATTAATTTAGGTGAACAAAATGTATCCACAGAATTACAGTAGGTATGTTGTCTCTGTGTTCAATAATAGCAGTTTTCATTAGTTCAGAATAAAAACTGTGAGGTTCCTTGGTCAGATAGAGCGTTTTAAGCAAAGTCCCACTCATGAATACTAAAGATCTTTTAAAGCAAGGCACTGTCATTGAAAAGCACTGATCATGAGAAGAGTACAAAAATGTAGATGTCACACTGGCATATTCTTCAAATCATCAAGAACAGAAAGGTGCATTACTGAGATTCTGCCTAATCACATCCTTTCTCTAAACTGAGCAGCCAGGTTAGAAAGATGAGGAGTTACTTAGTTCAATGGCTGAGATGGGGAAAAATGTGCATCAGTCACTAATATCCCAGTCACACCACAAAATTGTACGGCATAGTGAAAAACCCATCTGATATCCTGCAAAGGAGAACCTGTTTCAGTGTACTAAAGACTTGAAACTAAAGGCTTGGGGGTGAAAATACACCTAACAGTAAGACGGATGATTCAAAGCATAAGGCCAAAGCTTCACTGGAGTGGCATACTCTAGGAATAAGAAATGTCCTTGAGCGGCCCAGTCAAAGTCTCGACTTCAGTCCTATTGGGAATCTGCAGAAAGGTTGGAAAACTGCCTCAAGGTCTCTCAAGTTGCTTGGGGATCACTTAAGAACATCAAATTTGTCAGGAAGGATAAGCAGAAATTGCACCAACACAGCACACAGTTGGTAGAGACTTAGCAACTTATCAACAGAAACAGTTTCTCTTTTGTTTTTAGTCTTTAGAATAAAAAGTAATATTTTAAAGTACATGTATCATTTTGTAATTTTACTAAATTGGACACCATAGCAAGGGTCTGAATATATTTTGCAAGCCACTGCAAGATTAAACAGGGCCGCAAGTAAACAACCTAAAATGCAGACTCATTTTATTTCCAGCACTTTTTGTCTAATAAGAATACATTAAAAGAAGAAAACAGCCAACTATTTAGCAGTTCAGTTGTTTGTTTTTAGCCAGCGAGTTAAAAATCTGTGTTGAACAAATAATAAAGAAGAACACAAAGACTCCAATTTATACTGTACTGAAAATAAGATCTTTAATGGATCAAAACATTCTTGACATTGGTAAAGAAATGGGTTTCTGGCACATCTCGGGCTTTGGTTTTTCTCTATTCAAAGAATATAAGGAATGCTTATTTACGTACTTGTCTGGCTTCAAATCTCTGTGGACTATTCCATAATTATGGAGGTACTCAAGGGCCAGAACTGTCTCTGCAAAATACATCCTGGCCATATCCACCGGCAGAGGGCCCATGTTCTTTAATAAAGTGGCACAGTCACCTCCTGTGGCACAAGAAAGAGAGAGGTCATTTTACAGTAGCTGTGGGCATGACTTTGCTAAAACACAAGTACATGGGTTTCAGCAGTCTGTGAGACCACACATTATAAGATTTCAAAACGTACTGCAAGACACTCAAAAGAAAATAAAAATACATCCTATACATTTTCAGATAGCAATACTATCATTTCTACCAAAAGAAAAAAACATCACTTCATGGTATGTTTAAAAATGTGACTGTGGTAGAAGTGCTTTGTGTATCTCCTGTTTAAAGTTCCCATTTTCTTTTCAGCACTTGTATGCTTTAATTGTACATAAAACTGCATAAAAAGATAATAATGGATCTTTAAAATTAATTGTACAGTTTCTGGTGACACAAATGCCATATGCTGTAAAAAAAAAGACAAGAAACAGAAAATCTGACAAACCTTCAACATATTCCATCACCATACAAAGGTGTCGCTTGGTCTCAAAGGAGCAGTACATGCTCACTACAAATGGATTTTCTGCAAATGTCAAGATGTCTCTCTCTACAAAGGCTTGCTGGATCTGGTTTCTCAGGATTAGGTTTTGCTTATTAATTTTCTTCATTGCAAATCGCTGTTTTGTCTCCTTGTGACGAACCAAATAAACAGCACTGCGTAAAAAGAAAAAAAATACACATTAAGTTTGCCTTTACCTACTGATTCTATTTCGATTGTTTCCTTAGTTATCTCTTTTAAGACAAAATAGCAGCATCTAAACAATTTGACAACATTGTCATCCCACTTTTTCACATAAAACGTCAATTTTCAAAGTGCCTGTTCACTTCCTATTTCCACTTCACTTCCTAATTGTATACAAATGTGAAAAAAATATTTTAAGCAATGAGCAAAATCAATTAATCTACATCTCGAAATATTATATTTCAGGCACAGGAATTCTGGGGTCCAATTTCTGCAACTCATGAATAACCAGCTGAAAAATAGTGGTTAGGCTCCAGAACTTGCTGGCAGAGTCTATCCTCTATGTTTTTGTTGCCTAAAGGAAAAGTACTACCTTTCCCCACTTACAAATATAAACTACTGTACACCTAATAGTGGATCAGTCCATCTCCATTATAATTTACATTTGCACACACTGTATGGTTTATTCCACTAGATGATTTCAGAAATCTACGGAGATATGAACACGCTTACTGTAGCCAGCAACAGCTGACATACTGTAGCTCTGCATGGAAATGAGAGTAGATGTTCAGTAGATTCATCCACCATACACTGCATTGCCTATTGCCAGTAAACCCTGAGGCTGTCTGAATTGACATATTAGCCAAATCATTTTTTTCTTTCAGAGATACATACTGTACACAAAGAATCATTATTCATGCAAGGTCATTTACAGCAGCCTTGCTTTCCATAACAAAGCACACTGAAGAAAAGCCTGGTCTCCTGTTACTTTGCAGTCCTTAAGGATCATTGTACTTACCACATGTTGGCCAATTATGTAGTGTAGAAGAAATTGGGTCACTTTTTTGGAACATGGCATTCTCTAATATTTTGATGGGGCAGTGCATCCAGTACTTTACATTAGGAGTGTCAGAATCAAATTTATTATACTAGCAAATTATCAGGTAAAATCAATGTTTATTTTTTGAAGCATTAACCACTGCTGTGCAGTAGTTATTTTTTAGTTCAATCGATCAATGAATCGGTGAAATCAACATTTGTTGCTCTTGAAGCAACTTTTTACTGTATCCTACTTGGAAACATCTAATTTAATAACACATTTTAAACCATCATGAAACTAAAACACGTCTATCAACAGTCTAATTTAACATCTATTTTATTAAGAATCTCAGTTATCCTTATTATCATTGTTATCATCTAATTACTTAGCTGTGCTTTTTTTATAGGTAATTATTCAAATACTGTACAGTGTTAATTTACCTTGGGTACAACAAAGTTAAAGATCCAACTATGTAAAATAAAAAAACAATCCCACATTTAAATGCATACATGTTTTGTTGACATACTTCATATGTACAGTATTAGTGACTTCTAAATCACCAATGAAAAAACATACTACGTAAATACAAGGAATTTTGTAGAGATCCAGTTTCTACTTACCCATAAGCCCCATTGCTAATCAGTTTGATCATTTCAAAATCCGTTTCACAAGGCTTACGTCGAGACTTTAGTGGTACACTAACACTCTGGGAACACAGAAACCAAACAATACACAGCAGTATATAAAACATCTTACAGTATCTGAGATATATTTGGAGCAATACTTTAAACACTGTATTTAGTCTCTTTACTTACAAAGGATCTAATCCTAACTCACAGGTACAGTATATGAAGATTATAATCAGATGTACTATTCATACAGACTCGCTGGATGTGCTTATTTTTGGACAATATATCACAGAAACATTTGAGCACAACTCAGTTACTCTGGAGGAACACAGTTCTGTAACTGAAAGACTATCTTAAAGCTGTGATAAATCCCAAAACATATTTTTGAGCTGCACTTCACAGTACAATTCCCGTGAATTGCTGCTCTTGTCTAAGAAGCAGTTCTTAGAATGTAGTATGACAACATACGTCTTCTTCTCTGCTTTAATCTCTGATTTTGCATGGCACTGTTATTACACTTCAAGACCAAGGTGTCTAAGCTACTTACACTCAAAGATTCATCAGTCTCAGGAGTTTCTGCAATTCCGCTGTCATAGCTGGCCAACTGTGCAATTTCTGAGGAAGAGTTGCAAAAGTCAATATTGGTTCAATATAGGGTTTGTCTCATATTATAAAAACATCTCATAGAAACATTTAAGTTTAGAAAAAAAATCTCAAATCTAATATCCCACTTACTAATACTCTGTCACCAATATTTCTGTAAAAATTACATTACTAAAATTTTTACAGATAAAAAAATAACTTCTAGAAATAAGCAGTTTCTACTTTAACCTGCAATAATTCCATCTTGCTGAATCTTATGATTTACCCTAGTGCAGAAAACAGATATTCAATGTACAGAATGAAATCCATGCAAGACTATTTCATGACCCACACTGCATACAGTATCTCTTAATTAGCCCTTCTTTTTGATATCTTAGACATAACGCTTTCAAAATGAGCAGTATTTTTACTTTTTCAAAGCATTGAGCTAGAGAAGCTGACGTCAAAGCTCTTCTCAATGAGGGCAATGGGGTGGAAAAGAGCTGAACACGTGTAGAATATCTTTAAGAAAATCACAAATCCAGAACAAATCATTATCACAAATTATCTAAAGTCTAATAGTCTGCAAACTGTAGGGAGTAATAGATGTGCCGCAGGAGCCAGCAATGCAAGTGCCAAGTTAAACGACCATTTTACTGTCCCCACAGAGACTAATACACATTTAAAATGCCATTAACCATCTGTCCCCTTTTTATTCAGTTGATTTCTGCCCTTTTGTGAAAGCTGTGCTGAAAAAGAAGACAGAAACACTCATTTGAAAAGAATGGAGAAATCTCTCTCATGGGAGCTGGTGAGCTGCAGTGCTACTTGTCTGGTAGTGTGTGAATCTGTTGAGGTATTTCTTTTTGTGGAAAGTAAATTTACAATTACCAATAATTAATGCAGCATTTCACAAGCAGAGATGAAGTGTGGTGTCAGTAACAATCTGTTCAACACAATACACACAAAATCGCTATTCACTGAGTAATCATGCTTTCAGACTAGACACTATTCAGTCTGCAAACCTTAGCAGCTTCTGTCCACCAAAACTCAAGAAGAACACAATCTGGGAGTAAACTGGAACTGTATAATTAACCATTTTTAACCAGGAAACCTAACACTTAAAATTACAATTGGATTTCATTAGAACAGTAATACAACTGGACTCATGAAAGAGCAGCAATTCACAATATAAAGAAACAGCCAGTAGAATACATGACTTTCTTTTCTCCATCCTGGTGAAATATAACACTGTAAACCTGAAGGACACAAACTTAAACTGCAACTTAATGTTTATAGCATTTTCTAATATAAAGAAATACAGGTATGTGGTTTAAAGTTTGACAAGATGTTTTTGGCTATTCTTAAATTTAGCTCCACAAAAAAAGTTTAACTACAGTGGAACTCTACTTGCAAATAGAACACAGGTTTTGAAATGTACTTCATAACACTTGGCTCTCGGCATAGTGCATAAGCCAAGTCCATAACCAAAGAAAGAGGAGAAAATAAACACAAAATGGGATTCCAAAATGGGGCTTAAAATCTTATAAAGTTCTTAAAACTGAAAATGGTAATACATTTAAGCAAGATCATAATGTATCATGAGGTGCTAGATTAGTATTACAGTTTTGCTAAATACAGTAGCCTAATAAATTATTAAGCCTTCAATTAATTTAAATAAAACTGACCTCAGACATTTTAGTAGTATTAATGATGTTATCAATATTGTTTTCAGTTGCCAACAATTTTAAGTATGTTATTTTATCTTAATTAAAGAACTATTGTTAGACTCCCTCCCATAAAAAAGCAGAGACACTGATCATCTATTCAGGTGGTCCAGGTTCCAGCAGAAACTGCGAACAGCCGATCAGTACTAGTTTTACCGGTCTGGATGATTAGAACCAACATGAGTTTAGCACATACATAAAGCTTTATTTATAAACAAATGCTTTTCAGCTTAAAATCCAATCTCAAACAGTTACGGGGCTAACAAGCCACATGTAAGTGTGATACCGCAGAATTAGCTATTGCAATTCAGCCCTTTTCCAAACTGAAAACTATTTTTAAACCTTGGAAGAATCAAGCTGTGCCACATTCACCACAAACACTGACTTTGTCCCCATAATGTCCTCTCTGCAGATCACTCAGAGGTGTCTTTACCTTCCAGGGGGTCCCTGGTGAGGCCGAGCTGACTGATGATGTAGCGCGGGATGTCTGTCTTGATCCCTTGCCCTTCTTTGGCGTGACCTTCTGCTGCTTCCAGAAGGTGGTAAAACTCCTCAGGGTTAAACTCCTGAAACGATGACAATAAAATAAGTGAGAAGAACAGGCCAGTCAGCATATTCTGGGGTTCATGTGGAACATAGATCAGAGCAGAATATGTTTTACATATGCCAAAATGCGACAACTGTTTTTCATACCGTACTGTAAATGGGACTAGAGAGCTAAACAATGCTATAACAGTGGTAAGTAAAAAAAAACAACAACTCAAAAACTGTTAAGTGAATGAGGTTGAAAGTGAGGTTGCCCAGCAGCTTTGCACAGTCCACTGTTACAGGATTGTGTGGATCATCCTGAGCCTGCAAACGAACATGCCACCTGGCCATAGGAACTGGCATTGCACATAGCAGATTAACAATAGCTGATCAGCTCCTGGAGAGACACAGCCTTAATTTCATGTCACAAAGAGAAGTGTGGTGCAATGCTTTCAATCACGGCATGAGGCCTCCTGGCACTCAGTGATTTCGATCTCCTTCTATGATTTCTATTGACTGACAGGAACATGCAGTAGGTAGGTAAGTCCTGGCTCCAGGCTTGACAAGGATTTCTACTATGCAGGATTCAATGAGTTACTGTGTCCTTGGGTTAAAGTCTCCATACTGGTTTAGACATATGTGGAAAAGGAGATGTGTGCCGTTTCCATATTATTGATTACACACAAGGCTATACACAGTGCATTTCTGCAAGGACTCATTAACCTAACTTATTGCAATCTCATAGTAAGAGGAGCAGCCTATCAAATGTAATTCTAATACTTACAATTTAAGCAGGATCCATTGTTAAAACTACAGTTATTATTATCATTACTGTTGTTGTTGTTACCATTATTATTTACATAGTTAATTTATCCGATATTAGATGTACTGTAGTTTATTTTTAATGCTAACTTTTACTACAGAAGTAGCAGTAGATAAGAAAAAACCTTAGAAGCAAAAGCAATGGGGAGATGAAATGAGAAATTAAGCTCATATTCCTGAAGCAGCGCTGTACTGCCACTCTGTACTGCACTGTACACCAGCAGGCTGTGTGGAGGAGGAATCCTCATTCTGCCATCTCTCAGATAGCTCAAATGAAAGAGCATGGTAATCTGCTGCTCACTGAAAGAGCCGCATGAAGGATGCAATTCAGCACATGGCCCAGGGCCATAATGATAGGTGCTGGGGTATAATACAATTTCTACCAGGCTCTTTTGATTTTTCTGGATTAATGTCAACACAAAATCACAGATTATCAAGTGCATTTATACTGATTTTATAAAAGAAAACTATTGTTCAATAATAATGTGGCAGAATGTGGAATGTATTCAAGGATTCATATGAATAAGTAAAATCTGGAAGAAGTACTTTCATAGGATTGATTGCTGTGCACTACCAGAAAACATTTTCAAAAAATTAAAGAACAAAGAAGGGCTGTAAGTACAGTATATGACTTGAAATCGTGGAGAAGAAGCATTACAGATGTCCACTGCACCACTCTCAACATACAGTACCGTAATAATTCTTTATATAATAGATCAGGCAGCCCTTTAACTGTTTTGTAGCTATAATGGAAATTAGCATGTTATATCAGACACTTAAGAAGTAAAGGCTGATATATGCAAATTCATTTAAATGGAATGCTTACTAAATGAACACTTACCAAACACTCAAGAAGACGAGCAGGTCTGGCGATAACTATTAGAATCTTCTTAACCAGTTCTTTAATAAAAGTTACCTCTCCACTCTCCGAACGCTCGTGTGACTGTGCAGTGAAATAAGAACAAAAAAAAATTATACTTGCAGCATTAAATCTTAAGTTACATTAACATTTTCTTATTGGGTTTCATAAAATTAGGAAAGAGATCTCCTCAATATCCCAGTTTGTCACAGACTAGTTAAATCAAAGTACTTGCACCTTTGTAATTTACCAATCCAATTAATGGTGAAGTTGGAAGGTCAGGAGTTTCCCTGTCTATCCTCTAACCTGCCCACCCAAGTCATTTATTTTCTAGCACCTAATAGGAGGGTTAGTGTCGACTGCAACAGCAGAGATTCCCTCAGTGATGTCATTGCAAACCTGAAGTTGCACAAGAAGTTGTAGGACTTTGGTTTCTTCATTAACTGAAAAGAACCTGGTTGACTAATCTCAAACCTACTTGTGACACTGCAGAGTTGTGGTAAAATACTTTTAGGGATATAAAATTGTATAAAGAAAAGTAGGTTTTACTTAACTTACTTTTTAGAGGGTTTTCAACAGCATCAGCAATAGATACAAACAGAGCATATGAAATAGTATATTCTTTCACAAGGCTTTTGAAAGATAAATTCCTAAATTGCAAGTGGTACACAAGGTAATGAACATATTTGAACTGAATCTAATGAATAGACAACAGAATAATAAAGGGAAAAGGCTCAAATTTGAGTTATACAATTTGCTGGAGTACTGCAGGGATCAATAATAGGAACACTAGTAAAGTTTGCAACTTAAGACTTAACTAGTGATTTAAAAGAAGTTGCAAAGGAAAGTTCCTCATTCATATGACTAGACCATCGCTCAAATAAATTATGTTTACCAAATTATCAATAAATTTGTTTAAATTAAATAATTTCATCAATTAATGCTCTTTCTTTTGCAAATGTATTATTTGATTTTGTCAGCATCTTCTGAGTGCACATTATCAGTAATGTTTGCTAGCTTTACACTACAACATTGTCCATGACAATAACATCATATTAGCCTTTGTGTGGTACAGTAAATAAGGATTTAAATTATTAAGTTAACATAAATGTGGAGTAATGTTTAGGGCTATGGTTCCCAGATTGAAGTATTGTGGATTAAAATCCCAGGTGGAATGCTGCTGTTGTGCCCTTGAGCCCCAAATCACTCCATTAAATTCCTACAAAGAAATGGTTCTCAAATTACTCATCTTGATAAAAATGAATAAAAAAAATCCCTATTTCTCATGAATGTATAGTATGTGCGAAAAAGAATGCATAATTAAATAAAAATGCATAATTAAATTGCCATGATTTATGCAACCTTTTTTCCTGAGCAAGCAAGCATAGTTACTAAACAGGCAGAACTGCCGTTTTATTTCAGTTGTTGCAGAATGTGGTGACGAAGTTTGACGGCATAAAAAAGATGCACTCGCATAATTTGGGGAAGGCCTGGTGTTCAGGGACTAAATCACAGAACAGCGTTAACTCTTGCCATTGAAAAGAAGCTTTTACAAAAAGAGAAAAATACATTGGTGGGGGGTGGGGGGGTGTTGGTCTTTCATTTCAAATCGACCTTGATCCATGAAAAGCAAAGACTGGCACTTAAATGGAGCTCTGCAGTTCACCAGGGATTACTTCCCTTTTTCATCCCATCAGAAATTGTGATGAACCCAGAGCAACCACAGACAGGAGGGAGAACAGTTCAATGTCATTGTGAGATGAAACAGAGGCATCAAACAGCATACACGAATCTTCAGCGGGGGCATACCAGCTTTCCGCTCAAGGAATCTGTAAATAGGGGCTACAGAAAAGTCTTTCACCAGACAATTCTGCTTGTTTTTTTTATTCTAAAAGTTTGTCCTTCCCACAAAAAAGGGCTGGCCACCCCCACTTGTTTTTTATATTCTGTTGGTTCCCAGGCTTTATGATAAAAGAATCCGTGAACTCATCTGTAAATATCATGATCTTAAAATTGATTTTCATTGGTCCTATTTTCCAACATTTCGATAACTATTATTAGCCAACTATATTTTTACACACCCACCTAATGCGAAATCGTCAGTTGTATCTTAATGCAGTATCTCAGCTCACACTAATAACCCCTGTATATAGACTTGGAGAAAGAAGGGATCTCCGAAAAACCTATACATGAAGCCATTCACCCTTTAGCTCAAGCACAGATGAGAGGCCAGGTGTGTCACCCTTGCATTGCACATCAAGCCTATTGGTGCATCAAAGGGTGCAGGGGTCCTGGTGTCACTACGAGAAGAGAAAGTCCTGGCTGACTAATCTCAACCCAACCCAGAGTGGAACTGAGCCTATTGTTACTGCCACTTGGTGATTTCCATTCACAGATCAACAGTGACATGACCCAAGCTTGTACTGTCTACATCACAGAGCTCGTCCTGTGCCTGGAGTGAGCATCTTTTTTGTCATTCAGTCATTCAGAAGGCCTAAATTCCATGTAGGAACCATTAAATACCGTACATTTGAAAACAGCCTCTTCAGGCAGTTGGGTTATAAGTTATTAATTAATACTAGAACATGGATAGGAACATCCATTTAACAAACCTTACAAGAAAATGTTCCATTAAGTAAAAGAACACATTTGAATGCAAATAAGTAACAAATTTCACAGTTTATGAATCAGAAACATAAGGAAACATGGTCTATGGTATACATGTAAAAAGCCTAGAGTACAAATTAGAATAACTATTACAATAAATCACTGCATTTTAAAGAAATGTTCTTCAAAAAAGTGGCTCTCTTCTGATTGACCTAGTTTCACAGCCAACTGGGACCAACACATTACAGGTGCATATGAAAATCTGACCAGGCACATGTAGGCTACCAGCTGCCACAATTTGAGGAAAGGGATTTTTTTAATTTTAATATAAATCTTTCAGTCTTTTATTTTCCATAAATGAGTCACTGTCCTGAGACTTAATTCATAAATGCCAACACAAGCAATTTGTTCTATCTTTGGTCACAGAACATTGACACGAACCTCTTGGTATAACTTTTCCAGTTTCTCCTGCAGCTCACAGAAGTACCGAGATGTGATGAGTCCCTGGCGGGATTTATCCAGGCAGTCTCGTGCCAGCTCAATGATCTGATGGTGAGCAAAGCTGAGGACTCCATCTGCCAAGGGGAGCACACTGTCTGGGGAGTTGGTTCGGATAATTTCCTGGATTCTCTCTTCCATTTGAGCAGTCGCCTAATTGAAAATTAAATATATATATATAAAAAATATACCTCAAAGATCATAACATCCTAAAATGTATGTGTGATTAAAAACCTCTATAACATGGACCACTAAAACACTACCACCTTCATGTTACAAAGCCGTGTTTTTCATTCAAATTGAAGAGAAACAAATTAAGAAAAGCTTATTTAACAAAAAGAAAATGTGAAAAAATGTCATTTTAAAGTACCAGCATTTGCGCTGCATTCCAGGTGCCACTTAGACCCAAAATAATGCAAGGTAGTGAGTTAAGAAAGTTTGCTCCCTATACAGCAAGTGTAAAAGATGTTTCTTTAGCGGAAGGTAATAGCAGTGATTCAAGGGCAGATGTAGGTGACACATTTTATAAATTACATCCATCCCCTGCTTGTCTTCAAATTCAGAGGCCAGCACTTTTACACATCCTTGTAATGATTTTTTCCAGCTTTATCCTACAAACCCCTTTGCCTTCATATTCCTTTGAGCTGTAATTTGATTTCAAGTTAGAGAAGCTAAAGTAACTTGCAGTAAGTTAAGATCAGCTATACAAAATCCATCACTTCACACCTCAAAGTTCATTGCAACGTATTGTATAATCGAACCTGATGCAAAACCTTTTTTTTCTTCATCATGTTGACTATTACATCTCACCTCATCTTATATTATTTTGCAACTAATATTATTAGGATAGTTTTCACTATCAACAAGAACCTTCTACAAGTTTCAAGTGTGGTTTTTAATATTAAACTGCAAGGGAAAGCATCGACAGTCCTAGCTTGATATTGAAATGAGGATCTTCCACAAAATCTTTCTAAAATAGTATTAAATATAGAGTTGTTTAAATCACAAAAGTGGGTCATGCATTAGAGATGTCTCTTTAAGAATGTTTCCATTTACCTAATATGTTTTTTCAAGAACTTTATCCAAAACATACTTTTTTTTAACATTTTTTGTGCAAAAACACAAGAAAATAGAAAACAAGTCCCCCATCTTCTACTTAAGAAGAATTCTACTAACATTTAAACCCTGTAGGAATGTATAACTATAGCAAACAGAGTACTGTACATTGTTAAGACACTTTTACAAGTTGATTTAGGAATCAAAGTTTTAAGAAACTCAAGTTCAATGGCATTTGGATGACTGAAAATAATTTTCATTAAGTAAAATACAGGATTTGTGGCTGCCTGGTGGTGTGTAAGATTCTTTAAGATGGTTTCCAGCTTTGTGGTTTTAATAGGAAAATAATGATCACCTTAGGAAACCTTTCTTTGTAGACATGATTCATCATAATAATTTCATGATCACAGCATGATGGAGATCGTCCAGGACTAGAAAGACACAAAAACAGCACATGCATTCAAATTAAATATTTATTAATCAGTTAGGAGATCTAGCCATGTTTGTTTCCATATTTGTATTGTACTGTAGATGTAGGATTAACATGGGGTTCATACAGATTTTTTTTTCTTTGTGCATGAAATGGAATTTATAAAGGCAGGATTCTTTTACCAATGGACACTGCATAGCATTTGTTTCATATAGTCAAAAGGGGGCTTTGATTGTTTTGATCAATGATCAATTTAACTACCAGTTTTAGAATAAAGATTAAAACCAAGTTATGATTGTCATCCAGTTAATACTGGCAAGGATAAACATTGCCAGTATATACAGTATGAGAATATATTTAACAGTTTTTTAAAGATTCAAATTAGGTAATTATAAAACGGTCCTAAAATAAAAAATGTTAAGGTGCTAATTATGGTAACTTCTGGTTCTCCAGATAATGTATGTGCCTTGTTACTTCAAGGTGTCACTGTAGTTTCTTATACTTGACCACACAAATAAAGACAGAGCAGCTAGGATTTATTTTCTGTAGGGACATTGTGTTTTACCTAATCTCCAGCACAATTTCTAAATAATAGGTATTTAAATGATTTCCTGTGTCAGGCTAAATCATATACAAAATTTAAAGCTTGACAGTTAAATAAAAACTGTTTCAGACACATAAATAAGGAAGAAGAAAAGATTACACCATATACAATATACTGTATCTCAAAAGCCTTTACCAACAAATTTCTAGACTGAAGTACAATTACTTTCTGAAGATCTATTTGATAGCAATTACAAATGTTGCAAAAATGGTTATTCCCCATGTTGTTTTTTCCAAAGGACAGTGAACTATTTACTTCCTCTACCCCAGCTTCATTGACAAATTAACACTGTGTTATACATAAGCTCTGGTAATAGAATCCTGGTTTTAAAAGCATTGTCATTTAAACTTATTTAGGTCCAATGGGAAATTAAATAAGGATCCAGGGGGATGAAAACTGTAATATCTTTGCAGCATTGCCGACTTTTCCATGACAGAGTGAAAAAAGAAGATTAACTTTACATTTCAGTTTGTCAGTTTTTTAATCGTGAAACCCTCTATACTATACAGTACATGTACTGTATGGGACCTTTTATTGTTACAATAAGGTAGCTGCAGCTTCCCTGTCAACGTTAATAAAGCTTTTATTTCCTGGTACCTGAGGCTCCTGGACCGTGGACGCATTGGTGTGGCTCTCCTTCGGTCATCACCGGTGATGCTCTCGGTGCAGAAATGCTTGGAAAGGAAGTGCAGCTCATCGGGCGTAGGCTGAAATGGCAGCTGGTGCAGTTTCTCCTGTGATGAACAGGATGACTGGAAATGAAATGAAAATATATTGAAAAAGAAAAGAAAAAAGCTGACTACAGTGCGGACTTGTTTCCTGGTCTAGCTAATATGTCCGAGGTACAGTATGCAGGAGCAGAGAAAGAACTGCGCGAGCAGGGCCACAGATAACAGTGTTACTGTGTGAATTCCAGCCCCCTCCTTAATTACCGGTACTATCGTAGGCCTCCAAGTGGTTTAACTAAAAAAGGGATTCTTTCCAGCACGCAGGCTGGGCCTTCCAGTCCACAGACCACTGGGCCACATGATTAACTGGTCAAGTCCAGCCAGTCTAGGCCTCTTTGGTTTGCCACACAACAGAGACCTCTGTGGCTGCCCAGGCATCTAAGAAATTGCAATATCTTCAGCAACAGGTGTTCAAAAGCCCAGCACTGTTGTTTACTCTGGAGGCAAATTTACTGACAGTATGTTTAGGCCAATGTGTATTGGATCTTTTTCCATCCTTTGCTGGTCAACTTTATAGGATCTGTGGACAGAGAACCAAGTGGAGTAATTCCTAGGGATTTGTAAATTGAGAAGAAAAAAAAAGAATATTGCATTCACTGTGGTCTATTCAAATTTAATATTACAGTATCTGGACTTTTCAGCTTGGTCCTAGGTCAAATAAAAGGCCAAGTAGGGAGGTTTCTGTATTGAATTATTTTCTCTGTGAACAGTTGTATATACAGTATGTTTTTCTGATACATTTTTGTTCCTGTCAAGCTCTGCCACTGCAGTTTCAAGACACAATGAAACACGCTTTTGATAAAGACCCTTTGGACTTCCATATAATGTATGACATATTGTATATTTACAATAAAGCTTTCATCAACACATTTCTTTTTAAGTGTATGTTTTTATATTATTGTGTTTCATGAAGCCCTAATATTTGAACACAAGCCCCATGAGAACCAATTATTTATATCTACTGTCTACCTAATAAACAATATTTGCAGTCTACAGATACTCAATCCCAGGAAGCTGTAGCAAAAACTGCAGTGGCAAAAATTATGGGCCAGTTGCTAATACTTTTAACTCAAAATCAGATAAAAAAAGATAAAGATCAACAACAATCAGCATACAAACATAAATTGTATAACAGTTGTCATTCTTTTATTAGAATATTATTTTTATCAATTTTGATTCCTGTTACCTCAACTAATAGAAGACAAGATGAAACTGATGACATATTTTAGTAGTGGTGTTTTCATTAATGTCATATTTTTTACTGTTTTTTTTTATTTAAAGTGTGTTAAAAGAAAATATTTTCATACCGAATAGGAAGAAGTATTTGATTGTATGCCATCTCTGCAATCTCAGTTTTTGTACCGACAATAAACAAATCAGAGGAGCTATAGAGGAGAGTACTAAGAGTGGGTTGGTTGGCTGAAAGAGAATATCTTCCAAAAAATGTTATCGCACAACAAAGCTGCTGGTGGGATGATTCACTCTTATTGAACTTCATGCCACAATCTGTTATAGAAACATCAAATCTAGAGCACAACAATGCTTACATACTATAGTCCATAAGCATGCGAAACAATATTTGTTAAATATCTCATAACTAAAGCATTTTCCATTTATTTTTTTCTATAGTACTCTTAGACTACAATCTGAATAATAATAATAATAATAATAATAATAATAATAATAATAATAATTTCATTCACTGTATGAATTTGATCACACATGACTATGCTCTGCTGTGAGACAGGCCTGCTAAAAATCTCAAAACACTGAGATGAAAAACAAAATTATCACAGTCAGTGGGTGTGGGATTACTGCCACACATACATACAGTATTGTAACAGGAACACAAACATGTTTAGTCTGTTGGGAAGCTTTCAATATGTCAAGAAGCATGTAGGATACACATGAATGTTATAATATGAGCTGTAAATCCCAACTCTAATCTTCAGAGAAGACATGGGATGATTTTTTAATCAATCTACAATGGCCAACCATTTTATCAAAGCTGTAGACTCATAAATATTGTTTCCAACCTTGTGTTGTTTATGCTGAAGGAACAGTATGGGAAATCATATTTTGACTCATACAGTTAATACAAATGCCATTTCCCAACCTCTGTCATAATGGTGCAAATGTTGTCATTTGCTATTCAAGTCACTTGCTGCCTTGCATTTGGAAATCTGGACTGAAAGTCACAGCAGTTAAACATGGCAGTAATTGCAACATACTGTAGGTCAGTTATGTGGAAATAATTCACAATGAGCAATAAGAAGGTCAACAAAATTCTTCTACTTGCAAATGAGCAATTTTAGGTTGAATACTTATCAACATAAAACTGGTGATTAATTCCCTTTTAATGATTTCTTAAGTAATATATAAACTACACAGCTCCCTCAGCCATAAAATGCATATCTCAGTCTTCACAGAGCAGTGACTCCCAGTTTTGTTTTCCTAACTAAAGAAGGTCTCCGTCACAGCTACTGTACTAGAAATAATATAAGACTTACAGAAACAGTAGAGCTTGGGGTGTTGGTCCCATAACCTGAAGAGGGAAGAGATGCCAAAGACCAGCGGCGCCCATCAGTCCTATTCAGAGAAGACAAGTGTCTCATTAATGACTCCCCCAGGAAAAAGCCTGACACAAAGGATGGCAGAACATAGGGAAACACCAATGGCCATGTTGCGAGCTTTGTTAAGGTTTTTTGTTTTTGTTTTTACTTAGACATGGCTCTGTAGCTTTGAGGAATGAACAATGATTTTCTGTAAGACTAATCCAATGGGTGCGATACACCCTGTGTGGGAATGTGTCAATCCATCCACTATCAGAAAGTTCTATTTCTTGGAAAGAATACCCTACCGTACCTTTAGTGTGAGCCTATACATCCAAGCACACAGTGACAATTCAGAGATCCCAGCTAATCTAACCACAAAGGTAAGAGGAAACAAACAAAGATTGAAGAACATGTAAGCTCCGCACAGAAGGTAGCCCTAGCCACAGTAAGGCAGTTCTACACTAAATGCCATTCCATCCTGCTTCCTTGAACAAACCAAAATCTTGGTAAAACATTTATTAAAATAAAAAGAGATAAGAGGATAAAGATCTATAGTTGACAACACTGAAAATATTACTTTTAACATTCTTGCAGATGATTTAGGTACTGTACACTATACAGAATTAAAAACGCAGTTCAAAGTAACATACTGTACGCAATACTGATAAAGCTGTATATAAGTCTATACTGTTTTTTTCTTATCTTTGTACTATGGAACACTACATTCTGGAGACTCAAATGCTTATGCCACACAGATAATGTAGCTGCAGGCAACACAAATATTTAAAAAAGAACTACTAACAGAGAAGATAAAAGAGTGATTATCATGCTAATAAACTAAATGAAAACAAATGAAAGAAAATACACAGCTGTAATCATACTAAGTAGTTTGGTTCCAAGGAGAGAATTTTGAAAATGAAATGATAAAGTAAAACACAAGAAAACTATGCATGTACAGTATACAGTATACAGAAACAAACAAGACAAAAATTTACTAAGGGACCACACCGTATTTACCTGTCAGGTCTGTGGCCATGACTGACGAAAGTCATCAAAATCACGATAAATTGGAAGAATGAGGGGAAAAAGAGAACAAGTAATTCTAAGCCATTCAATAAACTACAAGAGCCCTTTAAACGCAAGTTTAACTTTTAAAACAACTTGTGTTTTTGTACGGGTTGAAAATCAATACAAACCGTACCGTGTAGCGGAAAATACAAACGTAGAGACTTTAATTGGTCAAAATTCTGAATCCACTTCACTCAAATTAAAACTTAATTATCCCCCTTTATCTTTCTACAATTTGAAAGAACCTCTCTGGTCTACTTTTTCCATTATCAGGTCCTTACAGATGACAACAGCATAACATTGAATACTAATTACAAATACTGCAGCTTCATAACATAGTTGCCTACTTCCTGACTATAAAAATATGAGGTAACAGTGAAAGGGATGAGAAACTACTTGGAAAAGAACAAAGCATTTCCAATGGGCAATTCATGATTCATGCAACACAAACCACTGCTCTAAAAATTCCAATTTAAGAAAAATAAAATCTCATTAATTTTTAGAAACAATAAAGTCTTTCAGCAGTATATTCTGACTAAAAGCAATGTTTTCTTCAGATTTTGTGGCAGAATATAATTTTAAATACCTGTATGCAAATTTATTTATGAGAAAATGGAGATGTGGAAAAGGAAAAGAAAACTCTAATGAAAATATTTGAAAATTGCAGAAAATTATTTATTATTATAAGTTATTTCTGATAATTACTATTAGGAGTAGCAAATTACATTATTAAGTTAACTTTTATCCTCTCATGCTACCTACCTGAAGACTTGACCAGAAAGCTTGTACCAATGTTTTGCAACCTCTTGTAGCTAGTTGACCATCATCAACTAGCTACTAGAAACCAAACATGCTACAGTAGATACAGTAGGCTAAATGTTCTCTTGTCCTTCGTGATGTTTATGTTATTAACCTACATTCTTAACTCGTGCTCCTTGTGAGGGTTGAGGGTGTGTGGGGGTAAAATATGTGTGCCCACTGTGTGGCGTGAGCTGGTACAGGGACGTACTGTAACTTGACTGGAATGGTCAAGTACTGTGTATACAAATTCCTGTAAAAGCAAACGACAAAAATACCAACTACTGGCATTCAGTCCCTCAACTAATGTATGGAGGTAGGAAAAAGGTACAGAATGATTAGTCTGCCCTTCTTTGATTCTGACATGGAAGAGAAAGAGCAAGTAAATGTACAATACATTGAAGGAGGGGAGGGACTTCTCTTCCTTTCTATGGGAAGCTACAGTAAATAGATGTATTTGCTTGAGACCAGTCCCATGAATCAAAGCGGCTTTTCTAATCCCATTTCCCAAGATGATTTCTTGATTTAAGACACTGATATACTGTATACTGTACAGTAGAATACAGACAGGGAAATGGTCTACGACCTTGACAAGTAATATCAGACACAAGGGATCATTATGTTATCAGATTGATGTGAGGATTTCAGGATGACTGAATTCATGTAAAAAGTTGCTTGCCCTACTATATACTTTAATGTCAGTTTAACCCATCTTAATTTCTTCAAAACAATTTTGCATGGAAAACATTTATGCATGAGTGGCACTGTATTTGTTATTTTCCATTAAATCACTTGTACAGTACATACTTCCAAAATAAAATAATTTTGACAAGTTTTCCCAGGTTCAGTTAAAGTTATCTGGAAACATTTAATCAACATTAAATGGAAAATGTTAATGTTAAAGTTATCTTATCATCAATATTGGAAATGTGTTGCAGGATTATGTAGTCTGTAGACTGCAAAAAAAACTCACACATTCTTGTTAGTGATATAAATTCAACACAGTCAAATTCTGTTTCATTACATAATGAACAGTGAGAATAAATCAGCAGGTTTGAAGTTTAACCTGGTTTTATTTTCTATCATAATTCTAGTCTTCTGCAGGTCTTTGATAAACTTAAAGAAGAAATAATGATAACTGAGGGAAAGTATACATGGGTCTTAGTGCTCCAATTAATTGCTTTTGATAATTGATATACTCTAGCCCATGTGATAAGGCATAAGTGGATTTCTATTGACAAGTCGAATTCTGCATTCTGATAAATTAAAATGTGTTTGAGAGGATACAATATTATCAGTATAGTTGAAAATTTTGAAGGAATCTTAAAGCCCACTCTATCAGGACGCATCACAAGGAGGCAGTGTTGTCCTGAGGGGACAGGGCCAGTTTATATATACTATAACATTTCCACACTTTTTCTTTCATATAAATACATTCCCCCTACCACTTTAAGAAAAAAAACTAAACAGTTCAGAGGTCCCCCACGTCAGTTATGACATCAAGGTATTCATTCTTTTATGTTAGATGTACTTTAGTGTAATTCAACAACTATTCTTCATTGACTGCTCACTCTTGGTGCACTTAATACAATTTGCTAAGAAAATGTCTGAACAAGATTTGGAACATTCTTAAAATCCTCAAAAGGAGGAGAAAGGCTTTTTCTTACCTCCGAGCAAAGGAGAAATGGGCTGAGGCACTAGGAGAGAAATTCCTTGGACTGTCTTGAGGACTGGTTCCTACAGGATGAAGCAATCAAAAAAAGCAAAAAGATTAAACTAGAAACCTCTGGGTGTAAATCTGTACTGTAAACATCCCAATTGATTTGATATGGCATCATAATACTTTGATTACAGAAAAACATAAAAAACATTATAGTACGTAGATATATACTATATTCTTAGGTTTATTCCATGCTGAAAAGAGAAGAAAGTAAACACAACGTTTCGGCCGTAAAGCCTTCTTCGGGTGTGAACTCTACACTAGGGATTCTATACTATATTTTGTTCTGTATAATCTGTTATGTTTGTCAATCAGCTGGTTGTGTGCTTCTTTCCCTGCACAGTCTGTCAATGGACCTCCCAGCATTTCCAAGTTTCTAAACTTTTAATGAAAGTACAGTAAATAGAAAAATGTACCATAAATTAATCCTTAGCTTATGCAAACTAATCTGACATATTAATTTAAAAACATCTTATCTTGTGAGTAGTTACTGACTTGGAATATGAAATTCCACTTAAATTATTCCCAGACTCAACAGCATAATGGATTTATATGCTGAAATATATGCTGTCAAACATATCTAGAATGTTTCAACAACAGAAGCGGCTCCTACTTTGTTTTCCACAATAAGTATTCTAAGCACTAAAAAGAACATGAAAAATTGAATGTTTCGCTTCAATATTTATCTTATTTTCATTGTTAATTGAAGGCTCCCCCTGGTCAAAAGTGTCCATTTCCATGTAATTCAGTTGGAAAATCCGACAGCCAATACCTTCATCACCTGACCTTGGTCAGTCTCCTCAGAACCGTGACTAACACAAAATAAATGTCCAGCACATACATTAAGATTTCCTTTCACTTGCCTTTATGAAGAAAATGTAAGGACACATTTTGCCTAAAATTTTCATTTTCATAGCTACCCATTTCATTAAAAAATGTATTGTGTTGTTTAACCTTGACCTTCAACTTTTATCATCAGAATTGACTCTAGTCTTTACACTTCATCAGGGGCCTAAGCTTGACAATTTTATACCAACCTACAATTTTATTAGTTGCAGGAAAACCTCATTGTCCTTTTGATTGAGTACATAGCTTAAAGCTAGGAAAAACCTAAACAAAATCAAAGGTTTATAACTCTTAACATGTACTCTCCAGGCAATAATTTTATTTCACCTTGAAGACCTAGAGGTCTTCATCATATCATCATATCTTTACCTAGAGGTCTTCAATATATCTTGCTACCACTTCATTACTAATCAGACAACAAGATCTGATACAGACTGCAGAATACTCATCTGCCTTCAAAATATTGTCCTGTCGGAAATCTGTAGATCAGGCTTTTACTGCAACTACAGACATTAAATTTGTGAAGATGTACCTTGACATTTAGTAACAGAATTCCACACCACGCAAATCAGCTTCAAGACAGAACTCACTGAAGTCTGCAGCCAAATTATAGACTATCAAGCAGAGATTAGGTTTACCTCCCTTATGTCATGAAAATGCATCAATACAGAGAGAGGCGAACAGACATATTTACATTTGGCAACAATATCACATTCAATCCACAGACTTTTAAAAAAAGATTTAGAAATAGTATTGTTCTCTTTGTTAAGTTTCACAAAAGATATAGTATGAATCATCCCTGCACACAATTTCTGAAAAAAATAAAACCAGGCAGATTCAAAGGCTACTTTGAAACCTTTTTTCTGCAGTGCAAAAAGAGTCCCACTGCTTCCACCTAAATCTGAGTGAAATTATCACTTCTATATTACCATTTTCCAGATGTGTGCTATGTCTTTTGCTAAATTTGTACTTTGAAATATTTCCAAGCACTTGCAGAACACAGAGCAGCAAACTCTTTTGAAAAACTCCTTGTTATCAAACTAACACACCCTTTGTATGCAGGATAACAAAATGATAGAGCATATAATGTAAAAAAAAAACAGAATCGTTATTTACAGGTTTCACTGTGCCCTGATTCTAGAGAAATCCACATCAGTGCCTTTGTGTTGTTCGTTACTCCCATGAGGAAAGAAGCCTGCTTTACCTGTCAAGAACCCCAGACTTTCTGTTCCCCCTATTTATCACAACTAAATTAAGTTCTTTCTTTACAGCTCCAGATATGGCTTTTTATATACCTCAGGGCAACAGAATTTTACAGTTGTCCCCACACCCCTCCTCTCCTGTTTCCTTCTGCCACTGGCACCCTATGACAGAAATCTCAAGACAGAATTATTGCCTTAAGAAATTCAGGGTAAATTCTCATTCATTTAATGACATGGCTGATATTTGTGGATCAGAGGTCACTTCCATTTTCAGAGGATTAAAAGATTAAACAGAAGTGCAGTCTTTCCTATTTCAAGCCAATTAGTACCATTTTCCCCACACACAAAAATAATAGCATAGATCCTGGATTTCAGCCTATAGTACCAGCGTCTTGTTCTCATAAGCTTAGGAAAAGCATAAGCAGAACCTGTTCTGTTGTAACAACATGCAATATTTTCTTTATTAACATCTTAGAACCACAACCAAAATGTGAAATCTAACCATAAACTGAAAGCATTTTAAATTTTTTAACAATATGTGCTAGTGTTGATTTGAATGCAGTTTGCCATCATTGACAGAAATATAATAGAAAATAGAAGAATAAAGCGTAATGTTGTCACAGATGAGAACTTGGCTTTGATTTAACAGGTCAAAAATATTGCCTACTTCTAGCATTGTACTGTGTGCAACCATGTTGTAAAGACATTTTTTGGCAATCACTTTTTCAAAATAGTAAACAAACTAGGGAGGTAACAGGAAGAATTACAGAAGCTCATGTGAATAAGAATATAATGCTGATATTTGTATGCCTGCTAATAAATGGGAAAGAAAAGAACTCTGCAAGCCAAACAGTTCAGAGGAAACAAAAATAATAGATTTCATTGCCTAGTGTGACTACAATAACCCATCGACCAGGTTTAAAACACTGCCAAACTATTCATTCATTTCTGGTCCCAGAACCTCCACAATTTAGAAATACTACATTTACACAGACATATTTATCAATAACAGACAATAAATTAAATCTGTTCATTAAATATTAAAGGATATTTTCATTAACTGGGGCTCAGAGCAGGAGCATGAGGGCATTGAGTGATGGTCAATCAGCAGGAATAAAACACAAAATGAGTACCGCAAGCTTTTTGCCCAGGAGTAAACAGTGACTAATCAGTTGAAAACCGGGTATGTTGAACCTAAGACTCTATGCACCCTTTATTTCTTCCAGCTGGGCTTGATGCATTTATCCAGCCATCTGCAATTGCATACTGTACCTGGGAGACTTTAAAATGGAAAACCTGCATCTTCTAATTCTCCGTCCGTATGTGCTGTACTCTCTTATTAGTAGAACCCCACTGCTTCTAGGGATTATGTCTGGCAATTTAACATTTCTAGCCCCGGATGCTTAATGCACTGCAGTGATTAGGGCGGGTGTTCCTTCCCTGATAAAGTAAACTGCTCGTAATGTTACTGCTCGCCCAACATTAAGAAAGTAATTAACTTTACTGCCATGGGGAGCAAACAGTTAATTAGCATATAAAAACAATAGCACTCCCCATGGTAGTAAAGAGGGTTCCTCATTTTTACACGCCTAGTGATTAAGGGGGCCATATTATATTTTGATTAATTCAAGTCTTTTAATTGAGCTGTGATTCATATTTATGTATACCTCATGTAGAATATATTGACTGGATTAAGAGGAAGGCTAGAGTTTATCATGATTGGAGCGATTTTAAAGATGTCTTTAGAGAAATTGTTTTAATGTATAGTATATTCTATGCCAAGGTCGACTGATCTGTGATAGACTTCTAATCATGCATTAACAATGCTCACTACTGAAAGATTATAAAGAAAATGAATGTCAGTCTCTGGCAAACGCATTCAGATATTGGACGCAGATCAGTATTTCCCTTAAAATATTCTTCTGAACTAATGTTTTGTAGTGAGGCTGCGCTTCCTTGTAAACTATAATAAAAAATGCACTGCAAAAATATCAAAAGATGTTGCACACCATATGTAGCAATGATCAATGTGAGCGAGAGTACTCATGGGGAATACTGTAATCTGCACACACTTCAACATTTGATGCTTTTACTTTCAGAAACCATTTTGCATAAAAAGACTTGAGAAAACTTTGTATCTCATTGAAATTCAACAGTTGGCATCCACTGAGGATGGATGAGATTCTGGATTTTAGAGAAACCTTCTGAATGTGCTGAAAAGGCAACTATCACAATGGAATGGAACGTTCTTTCCTGATTGTGTGATGCAGAATTAAGTACTGTATATTCCAAATACAATCATTATACTGCACATATTGCTATAGTTACAAAACCCACACTTGTCCTAGATGTGGCCAGTTTAATAAAGTTCTAAATCCATTGTCTAATCCCCTAAGGCAACTCCCAGCCATAAACACACAAATAAATAATAATGTGCACTGTGCTATATAATATTTCATTGATAAGAGTTTAAAAAAGTATTCTACTAAACAAAAGACCGCTTCTGTTAACATAAGCCGGAAAGTAACTCCCTTTCAAAAGTCACTTCTGCTCCTTCCTGCTCTTTCTAACAAACACATCCTGTAAACATCAGGAGAAGCAGTAGAGAACAGTGACCAGGGCTTTAGACTCCCAGGTGAACTGCTGCAATGCCTTTGGTTGATTACTCAAGCTGAATGAATGGATGCAAACTGTACATCAATTTTAAGAAATGTATCAGGCAAATAAATTATGTTTAAATAGCGATAAAATACCACAGTACAGAATTCTCGCCAAGGTGCTCTGCTGTTTTAAACATTCTACACATTTGAGCAACAGACAGAACTATATATATTCAGAGGCTATGCATGCTGCTCCTCAGTCGAGGTTTCTAAGAGCAAAAAAAAAATCCATAAAATAAAATATACAGTATAGATAGTTGAACAATCTGAGAATAAAACAGTTTTTTTGAAGCAAAGCTGAAAAACTGTGCAAGTGCACTGAATATATTGTAAGTTTAAGATTAATAATGGAAGAAACAAATGGATTTATAAACTGCAAGTTTAATCTGTCCTTCTCAAACTCGAGAAAAGTCAGAGAAATTGATTATTGTTGTTCATGTTCCTTCTCTAACTCAAAAACAAGTGTATGTACTTCGTGTAATACTCAATTATTTTTGGGTTAATATATAAAAAAATTCAGGTAATTATTTTTTTTTACAAATTTTGCTAAGAACATTTCACAAAACAGAAGTAAAATAACATCATACAAAATTGTTAGAGAGTATGTCTTTTTTACACAGAAAATACAGGTGTACTTGGGAATAAATTGAGCCAACAATTCTGTGGCTATCAAGCTTGTCGAGACCCACTCAATTTCCTTCAGACAACAGCATGGCTGGCATTTTTCATTTATGTGAATGATACGTTATGTGTTGATATTAATGCAGAAGCATTCTTTTTTAAGAGGAACACTCTCGAGTGACAGAGACACACACCATGGCTCAAGAGCTCTGTACCTGTATGTGCAGACAGTGGTGAATGTGGTCGGGGAAGAGCTGAAGACTGGCCACTTCCAATCAGACTTTTTCTATTATTCGTCCTGCAGCTGAAAAACAAAGAAAGGTGTCAGTTGGACAGCAAGGAGAAAACATCATAGTGCTTCTCTCATAAAAGGTGAAGCTGGAAACCTATAGGAATTGTTCCAAAACACACATTTTGTAATAATCTGACAGATAACACTGATTCTTCTCTTTCTTAATTCAACACAAAAATGACAAATTGATTTGTCCTGTTCATTTGCAGCAAAAGCGTTGCAAAATTGTGGATCGACAGTGTCTTGTTCGGGGACCTATATTTCCCACTGAAGAAACATCATTTTCAGAAAACACTCTGGTGTTATATGCAAGTACAACATGTGAATGCATCATGAAGAATTGATACACAAAAAATAGAAAACCATTAATTAATTAAGACAAAGTATCTACAGTACGGCAAATTAACAACTGTATGCATGTGTGTGAAGGGATTTGAAGTAATTGGTTTTCATTAGCCAACAAATTGATCAACACAACATGCATCACCACTTACATAATTACTTGGATTATTTTTTCTCCCTGGGTTGAAAAATAAATAGTTTCAAAACAGGTGCACATATGATTGTTTTTTTTTTTTTTTTACTTTTAAACCATAAAGATTTTTTTATATTGAACTGAATACAAAAATTTCAATATAAAGTGCTGCCATGGCCTGTCTCCTTTCATTTCCCTTTGTCAACAAACTGAATATTTACAGATCTGTTTGCACACCATGGCCTGTTAGAATTTCACCAAAAAGACGGCCGTATCAGCAGAAGAATGCATTTAAAAACATATTATTTGAATACATGATGTTATTACAGTTTAATAGCTTCCAACAAATGTCTCTTTTGCACTGTGTTCATTTTGAAGATAAATTGAGTACAGTAGGCAGTAAGAAATTTAAAATCTAACAGCCTTTTGGATCCAGGTAATATATTGTTGAATCAATTTCTAACAAAATGTTAGCCACATACCACATAGAAGCCAAGAGTGCATAGAGAATGAGCTTGTACTAAGTACTGTATGTCACAGGTAAAAAATTAGATATACAGGTACAGTATGTATTCTAACCCATGTCTAATTTGTATAAGTAGCTAAACACTAATCTCTCATAAATACATCTAATTTTGGATAAGTAAACAAAATATGTAGTATTCCACTGTATCCTTCAGACCATAAACCATAATTCAGTTTATATAAAAGTAGAGACAGATACAGTATCCTTCACTCCGAGGAGCCATTGTTTTAAAATACAGTATAAATCCATCTGGGTCTTCAAAAGCCTCTGCACGCACACAGTTTATAGTCATGAGCCGCATTAACAGTCTTGTCATTATGACTGATTAAACAGCTTCCAACATCAGGTGACCCTGTTCTCAATCATCATTTGAATTATGAATTAGCTTGTGTCAGCTTACACCGAGCTCAGATTTTTAAATATAGCAATCAGAAATATAGAAATATGTTCTACCACTTAGAACTGAAGCCAGGATTTCCATGAAATAGAAGTGATCAAATAAGGCCACTTTTCTTGCCTAGTTGCTATGATGCAGGTTTAACATTTGTGTTTGACCATGGGAATAGTATGTTAGAGGATAACAGGTCTTTTCTACTAATGCAGTAACACCATTACTTCATTTAACACCACCATTATTATTCACTTGGATTACTCCGTAAGTAATTTACAGCTAGTGGGTGTCATTTTAATTTTAGTAGCCATTAAGCTGTGAATATAAAACTCATTAAAATTCATTCTGTATGGTGGGGATGCTCCAAATAGTTCCCCTTAATTCCTAATGTAAGAATTAAGAGAAGTAAAATGAGAAAAAATACTGTTTACTAAAATGAATACTTACCAAACCTACGAATTACTCTACATAATTTGGTAATGAGGCCAAACTGAGCAGGCTACATCACAAAATTCATTTCTGTTGAAAATCCAATTCGTTTTTCTTTGATCAAGTTTTTATTATCCCTTCTAAAGTAAGAGTTACAACCTTATTTACCAACAAAATTAAGAGCTGTAATAACTCTATGTGAAAGAAAAATGTTTTGTAAAGAACCTGCTACCCTGTTTTTTCAATAAAACACTCAGCACAAATAAATGTCTTACCGTCTAACTGTCCTTTTCCACAGCTTGTGCCACTTAGCATGTCCTGTGTATTGCATTTCTCCAAGTAAAGCTAGCAAAAACTGGAACCCAACACTTCAAGACTTCCTCCTCCCCAAGAAAAGTACGTTGGTCCATTCAATCACAAATGTCTAGATTACCTTCAAAAGATTGTTTAGCGTTTTTTAAACAAGAAACACTCAATTACACTCAGCTAACAAAACTGCAGCATTCACAGTCTGTACTTCCTCTGAAGGACAGAGGCTGTGAACAGCAGTGTGTTTTAATAACATGCTTACTGTTCACAAAACAGATCCTCTTAGTTCCCAATAGGCTACACTGGATTAAAATGAAAAATTAAAATATAGCATTGCATAAACAAATTGCTCAGAACTTTATGAGTAAACACTTCTGAATTTATAATAGACAAAGTTTTAGCTAAGAACGTAAGGGAATCCGGGGAGGAAAATAAAAATATACATCTATGACAAAGCACAAAATAATGCTTCACTCTCTAATCCTCTACCTTTCCAAATGAGAGACCAGCAGCTGGACTTGATTAAATATTTCAGGATTTTGATGAAAATGTACTACTTTAAAAGATAACTTTAAGACAGAGAAACCCTAAGTGTTAAAAGCATATCATTAAAAAAAACAAACTAAAAATTTAGTTTTGTAGTGTAAAACAGTCAAGCTAAAGTACTTTATTTACAAAGTCTGCCACATCATTTCTAGTCAATATTTATAACTTAAAATTCCAATTTGAAATCAATAAAATTAATTTCTTGGTGATATTCAAACAAATAAGTGGTAACTTTAAAAATGGGAGTCTGCATATTATGTTATGTACAGCAAACTAAATTTGATTCCATTGAACAAAGAAACCTTTACTGAGAAAGCTCTGTGTTAAAATAACTAAAATTAGGGCTCATTCGTGCTACTGTTTATAGATGATCACTGCATCTCCGAAAGGGAAAAGGCCAATTAATTATCAAAGACAGCATGATTAAAAGACTCCTGATCCTCTTGCCCATGCCAGATTATAACTGATACCCTTCTTACATCACTGGTGTGTGTTGACCTAGAAAACCAATACTGCCTGTTGCTGACATGTATTTTAAGAAATGCTGTTCCTTTGCTGTGATAATGAACCCTAACTTCTATTTATCTGTGTATTTTGTCAGTGTTCAATGTTCTAGCCCTTAAATATGGATATAATCTACGGCAGTGTTTCACATTCAACTACTGTAAGTAGGGAGCACTTTCATGCTTGGATTGTTTCCACACACTTTTAAAAAAAACAGCCCTTTGAAAATAATTTCTATATACATACAGTATATAACTTTTGGAGGTGGTTGAAGTGCAGTGTACATATATTTAATTGAAAAAGATTTTTGATGTATTAAACAAGGGCTTGTCCTCATTTGAAATTGCTTTTCCTTTAATGGATTTGTTTTATGCTCAAGTTACAGGTATCAGGTTAGGAGCTACAAATTAGTCACAGATGGAGAACGTTTAACCAACAGTAAGAAGCTCACAGACAACATTATTCCTCTAGTCCTCAATTACCATCCCACTAACAGAAAAGTAGAGATAACTATTAAAAAAAATTAAATGCTACAGCAGCCATTATTAAACCACCACAGAGAAATGTCTCGTAGAAGGACGAAGAACTTACAAGAATACAGAAGTACCACCTGCAACTACATCAGTCTCTCCACAGAAATTAAGGCTTTAAATCCTGTTGCCACTGCAAAACATTTATGCACGGAGTATTTCACTTCACTTCCTGTAAAAATACAAACACCGAAGGAGCTAAAAGGCCACTCATGGAACTACTGTATACAAACATTTAAATTAATCCTACAGCATTTTTTGTTTCTTGACACCTCAATAATGATAATCTCACTGCTGAAGGAGTGAGTCAGTGTTATGGAACAAATACAGTACTTCGTGCAAACAAAAGAAGTGAGAACTGATCTTCAAACTGAGGACACCGGGAACATCTGGTGTCATATAAAGTAATTTTTTGAACAACACAAGCAAGCTGTGGTTATATTTCATTCCAAACATTTTAAGAATGACTTTTAAATTATTTTAACCTAGCGTGCAATATGCAAAATCTTCTATGAAAGTAGTTTCCCTAACTTTAACAAATTAAACAAAACAAAACAAAAACCAAAACAAATTTCTTTAACAAATTTAACATTCATTCTAACCAAATTGTGAATACTGTAGGCAGTGAGCTACTTTCAGGCAAAGTATTTTTTTATGATGAAGATTAAAATTGCACTGCTTTTATATCAAATTGTAGCTTAGTACATTAGCATTTAAATTATGCATGTTTGTGGAAGTGATTAGTATTTTTAAATTTAGCTTAACACATTGATTTCATTTTAAGTCAAACCTTTACTTACAGTAGGCTTTGATTTCATAACTGCCAATGAACAGAATTGTGATGGTGTAGAAATGAGTTTATGCTGGAACAGCATTGTCAATTATTTTGGAGTTATATATATGCATGGATCACTTAAGAGTTTAGTCACAGACAAAAGCTTAGGAAACACTGATATTTGACACTGACGCTATTGTCAACCTCAATATCACATTGCACAGTATACTCATGAATTCATCATTTTTGCCATGGGTTGTAACTGTAACAGTGGTACAAGGGCTTACAATGATTTGTCCTCCTTTTTATACTGAGTATAGCAAGAAAATCAGAGAAAATAATATAAATATCAACATGCACAAAATATTATGCAACCAATTCTGCACAGTATATTTACAGCTTATTAACCAATTCAGTAGTCTCTAATAAATATCTACAGTATCCGGGGATGCCATAAAGCTTCTTTCTGCACATGTGTGTATACAGTATACTATACAAGTAAAAATCTTTATGAGAGTTGTATGGCT